CTGAAAATACAGATATTGATAGGACAATCTGATAAACCTCAGGTGAATAGAATACATAGCTTTCTATTTGGTCCAAAAATGCCAGTTAGTAAGAATTGTCCACAGAATACTCTCCATGTCAAGTATTTACATACGGATTTTTGTCAGTTATTGAAACAATTCAGCCTTTCAGAATTTAACATCATTCACCAATCCTCGTTTTGTTTTGGTTTTTTTTGTTTTTTTGAAACCAGGATCCGTATGAAATAGGATCATTAAAAATGGACCATAGGCCATTGGCTGATTTGAAATAATTCGTTTATAGTATAAAACATCATTTAATGGGACAATTTGACCTGAGAAAATGGATTATCTAGACTGAAATACTGACCAAATCTATAGTGCAATCCTCAGAAACCAGGCATCTAAGAACATCTATGCCCAGCAGTGAAAACATTGTAGAAGCCTTGCCTCCATAAGCTTCTGGCCATAGTCACTGAATGGTTATCTGTGATGTCCTTTATTCTTAGAAGAATTTGAACCTTTTTAATAGGATTAGGCTTGCAGGGTCTATATTCTTGCAATTTATACTATCATTTGTAAAACTGAAAAGACTGCTACCAAAAAAAGAAAGACCTTTTATCTTTTCCAGAAGGACTGTTATCTTTTTTTATGTAAGACATTAAAAAATCACTTAAACTTCTCAAAGGCCCAAGTTGCCAAAATGGCCTTAGATTTACTATCAGCATTCCAACGTGTCAACCAAATCTGTTTTCTGGACACCAAGGCTCTTGAGGCCCACTATACAGTTGCTATGCAATTCCAGGGATTATTGGATGAAACTGATTATCTGGACCTATTGCAGTCTGGGTTTAGGAGTGGTTACAGAGGGCAGCAGCTAGGCTACTGACAGTAGGTAATTACAGAGAACATACCACACCCTGTTAAAAGAACTCTATTTGGTTGCCTATATGTTTCTGGACCCAATTAAAAGTGCAGGCTATCACCTATAAAACCCCACACGGCTCGGATCCAGCCTATTTGCTTGACCGTGTCTCCCCTTATGAGCCTGCACAGACCCTGAGATCCACCGGGAAGGCCCTCCTCTCAGTCTCACCACAGTCACAAGTGCAGTTGGTGGGGACGGGAGAGAGGGCCTTCTCAGTTGTGACTCCTTGGTTCTGGAATACCCTCCCCGAGGAGAACAGATTAGCCCCCACCTTAGCAGCTTTCAGGAAGCAATTAAAAACATGGTACTGGAAACAAGCATTTGAGAATGGCTAATGTAAACGGTGAGGTAGAGTATTCTTGAGGCAAATGATTTCTGCTTTAATCATCAAGAGGAGAATGTCTCTTGCTTTTAATTACACCTATATGTTTCAACTGTTTAATGTTTATATAGATGTGTTTGATGTTGACCTTTATGTTGTTGGTCTTATTTTAATTATTGTGATTTGCCTTTTCAATTTATTTTGTGACTGTTACTGTGTATATTGTTTTTTTATGTTGTGAGCCGCCCGACTCCCCTTGGGGAGACGGGCAGGATATAAATAAAGTTTGTTTATTATTTATTTATTTACAGTAATTTTAAATGTTTTAGCTTTTTAAAAATATTTTATTATTTACCCTATTTTAAATTTGTTAGATTAGATTAATTGTATGCCACCTTGAGATCTCTAGATACAGGGCTATACATACTTAAAAAATAAATTGATAAATCTTGATGCATCTCAACTAGTACAAAGCTACACTGGGAGATGTAAATTTGACATGATTATCTTGTGTACACAGTTACTGAGAGCAAAACTATTCTTTCATTTTCAATATCTAGTAACAATAACTGTGATATTACAGAGGATGACTAAATAACTCTGCATTTTGATCTGTGCTCCATTCTGTAACTTTTTCTGTCTTTTAAATAAATCCCTGTTTATATAAGCCTTTTATGTAACTATGAACTAGAGTACACTGTGGCAGCTGGAGCTACACTTGCCTAAAGGTAGTATGGAATTCCTCTTTCTGTGCAACTATTAAAAGCACATTAGCTTGCAAAATATTAAACCTGGCAATTCTAGAAGAAAATTAGACTACAGAAGACCTTTAGCTATAATTTTATCTTCTTTCTGAATGGGAGCCCGAGGCAACAGACACTGTCATTTCAGTAGAAATACCTTCAAACAAAAGGTGGCAGGTCGTTGAAGATATCAGAAAATCTATAAAAAGTTAATGTTCAGCAGTATGTTATTTTTGTATATTCTCCCGTCACCAAAGTTTCAGCAAATGTTTTGCTGGGATAGAGAGCCTGACAACACCCACATATAGTGACACTCTTGACAACTGTGATAGCTCTTGACTTAACTGGGACAAAGAAAATTGTGAGAAGCCAGATCTATATTAAGAATCCTGGATGCTTATACAGAATCAAATCCATTTCAAACCCATGTTTTCTCATCATTTTTGTAAAACCCAGCTTTTTCTTCAGTAGCATATAAACAAGTACAATTCTTTTATTTACAGCTTTCACAGCATGGTTCATAGAGTCAAACATTCCACCTTCTTCTCTCTTCACATCACATTTTCTAATGATCCTAAATCAGTGGTTCTCAACCTGGAGTCTCCAGATGTTTTTGGCCTTCAACTCCCAGAAATCCTAACAGCTGGTAAACTGGCTGGGATTTCTGGGAGTTGTAGGCCAAAAACATCTGGGGACCCTAGGTTGAAAACCACTGTCCTAGATAGAACTACAAACCTATTGTTGCTGTGTCTTCAAGACATTTCCGACTTATGTTGACCCTAAGGCAGTGGGTCCCCAGGTGTTTTAGCCTACAACTCCCAGAAATCCCAGCCAGTTTACCAGCTGGATTTATGGGAGTTGAAGGCCAAAACATCTGGGGACCCACAGGTTGAGAGCCACTGCTCTAAGGCAACCAGATCACGGGAGAAAGACAAGACCCCCAAAGGGCATCCAGCCCAACCCCCTTCAGCCAAGAAGAACGACAATCAAACCACAGCCCCCAATAGATAACTATCCAGTCTCAGTTCAAAAACCTCCAGAGAAGGAGACTCCAGAGATCCTCAAGGGGAATCCAGCCTAGTTCCCTTCAGTCAGGCAGGAAGATAGACATTCAACCTCAGTTCAAAAAACCTCCTGAGGAGGCAACTTCTGAGAGCTCTCAAAGGACATCCAGCCAAGCCCCTTTAGCTACACAGGAAGAGAGTCAAAGCCATTCAACCTCAGTGCATAAACCTCCAGAGAAGCAGATTCCAATGGACTCCCAGGCAGTTTATACTTTACTAGGGTTTGAAGAGATCCCCAGAGAGCATCTAGTTCAACCTCCTTCACCCAGGCAGAAAGACAGAGTTGAAGTGCCCGTGGATGGCCATTCAGCCTCTGTGTAAAAACCTCCAGAGGAGTTTAATCACTCCAGTAGTGGAGTGCTGGTTTTATTCAAGTGTAGGTACTATTATAACATAACTTGCACAATTTGTTTACTGAGTTGCAGTACTTTCCACAAAAATTGATAGGTTTCTAATTAAGAAAAGAAAATCTGTTGACAATGATGTTTATGATGAACCACACAGAGTGGCTATAAATGTAAAGGAAAAAAATGTCAAGCCTCTTTTATACAGTCCAGGTCATATGAAACTTACATTACATAATACGTATATTATGTTGTATTGTATTGTATTGTATTGTATTGTATTGTATTGTATTGTATTGTATTGTATGAAACTCTCAAAAGGGGTTGGTTTAACCCTCGGTTTGCTAGTAGAATTGAATTACTCTGTTGCTAAAGAATGTCAAGTCAAGTCAACGTTATTTGTATCCCGTACCATCTACCCTTGTGGACTCAGAGTGGGTAACAGCATGGATGGCAGCCACTCAATGCCACACAAATACACAAAAAGACAAATACATAATAAATAAAAAGCAAATATTTAATACAATAATTTATCATAACTAAGACATAATAGCAATCAACGAAACACAATTCACAACAACATTTAAAAACAGGGATAAAAACCCAGATCAATAAAATAAAAGCCATATCAATCTTTAAAGCCCTGTTGATGCGCGTCTAAAAACCACATCACCAAAATGAAAAGTTTGGAAAGTTCTGATCTACGCACACACATGTGCGCATATAAATGTGAATCTGTCTGTGTGTGTGTGTGGTTATGTATGTGTATATACATTTGAGATAGATCAGTTAGCCAGAGTGAAGAAATTAATAGGAATTTGGGGAGCAATGAATAAATACCTCAGGAGTTAATGGGTTATCCAAATGTATCCTAATAAACTTCTATTTGTTTTATTTTTAAGGACTGTGTTTGCCTGGCTTTTCCTGTTAAATCTGATAGAGGGTCTAGTTATGCTAACCACAGTGAATCCTCAAAACAACACCCTCACTGATCCACATACTGTAGGGGTCACCTTGAGGTCCAAGTACATAATACAAGGAACGATTAAGAGGAGGAAAGGGACAAACCTGGCATCGGAACTCTATGGCCATTCCAGAGAAGGGATCTATCACATTTGCTTGTATGAAATATTATTAGAATTCTGCCACATTTCTATTTATAGCCTCTTGTTCCCTTACTTACAAACTCCAGATTGTGAATATTTTACCGTTTATCAAAATATATTTTTTAAATCATCCTCCTATGCTCTTATTTTTATTTGTCTGTAATTTCTAATACCCTTCTAACACAAAGGACAATTCTGGGAAACTTGAAAGGTTGCTTATTATGTGATAAAATTTTAGTTAGTTCCAGTAATGCTGTTCAGGAATATGCTTAACAGGGTAACATCACTATCTGTTCTTCTCCTCCCCATAATGGTTGCATACACTCTACAAATAAACGTGAATTCTATCACCTTAATAAATTATACAGTACTCCTAATCCTAACATCAGTGAGTCCTTCCACCCACGGTAACAATACAACAAGTTTTTAAGATAGTTCCATAAGCCTGCAGAATTGTCTCTAAAACATTGAATAGAACAAACTAACCACTTACCATCCTCAAATTGTGGGTTCCAGTACAAAAGTAACAACTTCTGGTTCATTTCTGGAAACTTTAATTATCCATGCACTCCTGATGGGTTGGTCTGACGCTCTTCCCCAAAATCTGAATTTTTGTAAGCTAGAAAAGAAATGTAGCCACTTATATACATTTAATTGGACATTTTTTTGTTTTCTAACTAGATTTATACAAAATATCTTGAGAACAAACAACTCATTTGCACCTTACTAAGTCCTAGAAATGTCCTTATGACCAATCTGAACTCTGTATATAACTTCAAGGCAAGTCCTTGAACAAAGTTTAAAACAGCACAAAATTACTAAAAAGAAAATGGTACAAATTTGAACAACCCCTACAATTGGCTGATAGTATGGGAGTTTTGCACTATTATATCGAGTTATGTAAAATATTATTTAAATACCTCAAGGGCTGTCACAGAGAGAAGGGGCAGGCCTGTTCTTTGCTGCCCAAGTATAATGGTTAAGTTACAGAAGTGCAGATTCTATTGAACATTAGAAGAAGCATCTTGAAAGTAAGAGCAGTTCAGGAATGGAAACAGCTCTCTAGAGAGGCAATGTGGTCTCCTTCTCTGGACACCTTCAAAAAGAGGGTGGGCAGTCACCTGCTGAAGATGCTTTAGTTGAAGATTCTGCATACAGCAAGGAGTTGAATTCAATGACATGTGAGGTCCCTTCCAATTCCACAATTCTAAATCAATTTGCTGGAAATCTGGTAGGTTATATTACAACTGGCTCACAACATGTAGGAGAAATTTCTAACCCTAGCTTCATACTGGACACTGTTTACTGCTGAGACAAGATGCTCAGTGCTCCATCACTACTACTAATATCTATGGCATCAAATTACAATCCAATAAAATTGTTGAAGCTTATTTTTTGAAACAAATATGAACTGTCATTCCACCATTCTGAAACCAAATGCATACTTTTTTTGACTGTAAAGAGTGATTGGCCCAAAATAGTCAAATGCTTATACCATTCGCATAATTCTGACTTAGTGGAACCTGACAAAAACGGTGTGTGTCATCCATCACACCACTCTGCCACACCACTTTTGGTAGACATTATCTACCATTCTCAACTAGACAATAATATGCAGTTTCCCTCCCAACATGCAGCACACTCTTTCAGCACAAACCAGAGCTAGTTTGGACATAATATTTATAAATATTCAGTCAGACATAATGTTTGAATCACCTCAGCATCTCTAAAACTTTGGTTCTGTGATCTCAGGCTTATAAGGCCTGTTTTTATGATGTAGGAATCACTGACATTAAACAATTATGAAAGCACATTCTAAAAACACTAAAAGAAATCAACACTGCTCTGTTTCCAAGAATATCCCTCTCTAGCCAGCCAAAAGTACTCCACATATGACATGGCAAGAATACATGTAAAAGCAGATTATGAATGTTTTTAAAAAGTCAATTGTAATGTGTTAATGTCAACCAAAGTAGCTCAGCTCAGTAGTAAGCATTATCCAAAAAAGTATGATTCTATTCTAAAAAAAACTATATAAAATGCAGCATTTTTCTCAATACACAATATCCTAACTTGAAAAAATACAGAAGTACTACAGTGAAACTGCATTCCAGATGGAAGAAAATGGGCCAATACTAATGCAAATTGTTTGCATAGTGTCACAAAGTGAAAGTAAGTTAAACTATGTTATCTACTTCAGGCAAAGGTGAGTTCAGACCTAATTTATCTATTAATCTGATCTGGAGTGGAACCTGCCTCCCTTCACTGTGTAATATAGGGGCAGGAAACATATGGTCCTTCAAATAATGGACTCCTGTCAAACTAACAGTTCAAAAGCATGCAATGCGAATAGATCAATAGGTACCACCTTGGTGGTAAGGTAAAAGAGCACCCTGTGCAGATATGCAGACATGCCAGCAACACAACTGGAGATGTCCATGGGCTTCTCGGCATGCAAAGAGCACTTCCCCATGGCTGGAGTTGAGAATCGTCTCCAGATGCCAGAGATGGAAAAAGGGGAAGGCCTTTACCTTTGTCTGTGTTGGATGTCGTTGTTCACTGTGTGTGTAAAAAAGCATTGAATGTTTGCCTCATATGTGTATTGTAATCCACTCTGAGCCCCTCCGGGGAGATAAAACGGAACATAAAAAAAGAGTATTAAAGTATATTATTCAGCTGTCATTAGCTTTAATCAGAATAGGAACACCCATAAGCAAGATATATTTTTTTCAAAAAGTATTCCCTTTTCTGCCTTTATGACAATAAGCATATTGTCTAAGGCAGGCATGGGCAAATTTGGGCCCTCCAGGTGTTTTGGACTTCAACTCCCACAATTCCTAACAGCCTACTGGCATCTATTATGAAAATTGAAGTCCAAAATACCTGGACGGTCCAAGTTCGCCCATGCCTGTTCTAAGAAGAAATAGCTGTATATCATTCAGAAACCAAACATTTTCTGACTTTGCAACCTACAACTGGGAGCCCTTGCTATCACCTAAGGCAGTGGCTCTCAACCTATGGGTCCTTAGATGGTTTGGCCTTCAACTCCCAGAAATCCTAACACCTGGTAAACTGGCTGGGATTTCTGGCATTTGTAGGCCAAAACACCTGGGGACCCACAGGTTGAGAACCACTGACCTAGGGTTTTGTTCCTTCATACTAAAATGTGAAAACTCAAGTCCCATTATACACAATGTCACATGGAATTGTGTCCCTTGTATACAGTGGCAAACCAAGTCTTGTTTTTTAGATGTTTTATAAAAAATATTTTCAAGCCGCGGATGACTGCATTTACAGAGACAGCATTCATGGATATAAATACTGTATTCCACACATAGCAGCTCCTCAAATACCATATTTACATCATTCTAATGATCACTTTTTTTTTTTTACTAAATTACCATTTCCAAAATTAGGGTGCGCATTAGATTCACGTAATATGGTAATAAATACTTTTTGGAATTTCAGGGTTTTGAAAACTGAGGTGTGTATTAGATTCGATTGAGCATTAGACTCAAGTAAACATGGTCTATTCTGAGGGACTGATAATAAATGGCGAGGCAGCAATGCTTTGGGCCCTTCAAGGCAGGCTCTATATCCCAGGATCTGATTCCAGGTTTTTACCCCAGATTACCTGGCAGTGTAGACTCACATATTCCAGTTTTAACCTGGGATCAAATGTTTAAAAACCATGCTTTTGGGTTTGGAAAGATTAGCAATTTACAAGAAATGTTGCCGGGGGGACACCTGACTGTATTTACTCAATCTTCAACGAGGCTCTTTCTGTGTGCAGATCCAAAATTAATAAGAACATCAGCCCTAGCCTTGTCTTACTCAACTGCCAAGTATGCCTTCCCTGATTGGCATAAGTCTTCCCATGCAAAGCAGGTGAACACAGCATTGAATGAAACATGCAGAATAATCACAGGCTATCTTAAACTTACACCTGCTGATAAGCTCTACAAGTTAGTTGCATTGCCCCCCCCCCCCCCCCCCAAATCGATGTGCGACGGGAAGTTGATGCTAAATGTGAGATAAATAAGGTTGAACACTGTGAAAGCCACCCACTACATGGCTATAACCTCCTCCCAGTAGACTCAAATCAAGGAAAAGCTTTATGAGTACTACCACTCCTCTTGGCGTCCCCCCAGCAACAGCAAGGGCATCCCTCTGGGCAGCTAAACCAGGAAATACCAACTGGATGGTCCCCCACAAGGGTCTTCCTCCAGGGACAAACCAAGATTGAGCAACTTGGAAGTCCCTGAACAGACTCAGAAGCGGAGTGGGCAGATCAAAAGACAACCTGGCAAAATGACACTACCTAAAAGAATCCCACATCTTGTGTGACTGTGGAGCAGAACAGACAACTCTGCATCTGTATGCTTGTCCATTATGCCCTGCCTTGTGTACAGAGGAAAAATTGTTGGAGGCTACAGACAATGCCATTGCTGTTGCCCGTTTTTGGTCAAATGATATTTAGCTGCCTGCGCTCCTTCTATTTTTAACGGTGTTATACTAAATTATGCGGGAGGTGGACGAGCCTGGCACTGTGGCTCCGCTCTCTCAATCTGCTGGTGGCCGCCATGTTGAGCTTTGCTGGTTGCTGCTGCGCCACCTCGGCCGACCTCCCTCCTGCGCAGGGTGAAGAGCGGGATGAGGCCGCTCCAGGACCTGCTCCAACTTTGCAACGGGGTCGTCGCCTCCGCCACCGAGGCCCGCCGAAACTATGCTGCACAAACAGCACCTGCAGTTAAAGCTGGAATGGCTACAGGGTGCATTGTTGCCATCATTGGTGCTGTGGTGGATGTCCAGTTTGACGAAGCCCTGCCACCCATCCTCAATGCTCTGGAAGTGCAAGGCAGAGACACACGGCTGGTCCTGGAGGTAGCACAGCACTTAGGTGAGAATACTGTTTGTACCATTGCTATGGATAGTACCGAAGGCTTGGTGAGAGGCCAAAAAGTTTTGGATTTAGGTGCCCCCATTAGAATCCCTGTAAGACCTGAGAGCCTGGGCAGAATCATGAACATGATTGGAGAACCAATTGATGAGAGAGGCCCATAACAACGAAACAATTTGCTGCTATTCATGCCGAAGCACCAGCCTTTGTTGAGATGAGTGTCGAACAGGAAATCCTTGTCACCGGCATTAAAATTGTGGATCTCCTTGCACCTTATGCCAAAGGTAGTAAGTAACATTGGCCTGTTTGGTGGTGCTGGTGTAGGCAAGACAGTATTGATCATGGAGCTGATCCAAAAAAGTGGCAGGCTCAAACCCAGAACCTCAACCAATGGCTGATACCAAATGAGAAACTCCCCCCTGGGCACACAGAGGACTGGGCAACTTGGAAGGCGCTGAACAGACTGCGCTCTGGCACCACAAGATGCAGAGCCAACCTTCAGAAATGGGGCTACAAAGTGGAATCCTCGACATGCGAGTGCGGAGAGGAGCAAACCACTGACCACCTGCTGCAATGCAACCTGAGCCCTGCCACATGCACCATGGAGGACCTTCTTGCAGCAACACCAGAAGCACTCCAAGTGGCCAGATACTGGTCAAAGGACAGTTTTGTTGTATTGTCGAAGGCTTTCATGGCTGGAGTCACTGGGTTGCTGTAGGTTTTTCGGGCTATGGCCATGTTCTAGAGGCATTATCTCCTGACGTTTCACCTGCATCTATGGCAAGCATCCTCAGAGGTAGTGACCTCACTACCTCTGAGGATGCTTGCCATAGATACAGGCGAAACGTCAAGAGAAATGCCTCTAGAACATGGCCCCATAGCCTGAAAAAACCTACAAGAACCTAGACATTTAATCAACTACCAAACTCACACATTTTGTATTTTCTCTGTTTGTTTGTTTGTTTGCTTTGTTCTGTTAGAAATGTAATATAATTGACTGGCTGCCCTGACACGAGAAATAAATGGAGCTGATCAACAATGTTGCTAAAGCACATGGTTACTAAATTATGCAATACTTTTGATATGAAATAAAATAAACCTGGGATCAGATCCTGGGATACAGGGCCTGTCTGGAAGGCCCTTTGCTTTGCTTATATATCCTTACCAAAGAACAGAGTGTGGGACATACTATGGTGCAACTGCACTGTCGAACAGGCTGAGGCTGATAGGAATTGTCAGAGTTGAAGTCCAAAACACCTGGAAGAAGGCCCATGTCTGCTATAGAATGAAGGCAGTTTGACACCACTTTAACTGCCATGGCTCAACGCTATGGCATCATGGGAGTTATAGAAGGCCTTCAAGTCTTGTCTGCCAAAGAATGCTGGTACTTCATCGAACTACAGATGCCAAAGCATGGAGCAAAGTGCTGTCAAACTGCATTCATTCTACAGCGCGGGCAGAAGATGCACCCTGAGGTCACGCGCGGCCTTCCTGCGCCGCCCGACCACGTCGCCAGGTTTCCGTGTCAAAGGTGAGGCGACCCAACCCCTCCTCCTTCTTCTCCTCCTCCTCTCTGCCTGAGGGAAGCCGCAGCGAGGAGGCCTGCGCGAGCCTCATTGCCATGGCAACCGGCACCCGACTTCGCCTCCAGCGGAGCCCCCCTCCCCCTTCTTCCCCTCCGCGCGCCCGCCCGCCACTCACCGCCCAAGCGCCGTCTCGCGCCCGCTCTCGGCCATTGGTCCTCCTCCCACCTGCCGGGCCGTCAACATTGCGTCACTTCCGGCATCACCTGACACGCCGAGCCAGCGCTTCGGGACGTTCCCTGCCTCGACTTCCGGCCGTAAAGAGGAATAAGCCCCTTTACATAAAGGGACTCATTCCGGAGGAGGCTTAGAGCGAGTTTCTGGTAATTCTCTGTCAGATTTGATGGGCTGCATTCAGTGTAAACAAACATCTGCTACACCGTAGAACAGGCCTGGGCAAACTTGGGCCTTCCTCCAGGTGTTTTGGACTTCAACTCCCACCATTCCTAACAGCCTACCGGCTCTAAGCCTCCTCTGGAATAAGTCCCTGAAGGACTTCAAGTGCTCCAAAAAAAGGGAAATATTGTTTCACTATTTGGGTAAATTGAGATGCAATTTGATCTATTTACAAGGATATTACAATAACAAACATGACATTAAATATGTACTATGATGGCACACCAGGAAGATCTAATGAGAAACTAAATGTGTCTGGCTATTTTCCCAGTGACAATCGGTATGCCCTAAATTACTTTAATACTTCAAAATAAAACTCTACAAACAAGATTAAATTCAACAATTGTTTACTAAATAATCAAGGAATAAAAGTACAGTTTGATTATGATGGTGTTAGAACAGTGAAATATAAACTCTGAGGTAACAAACTATAATTTCTATGAGGTAAGTATTCTATAAACTATAAACACTAATGCATGTATGGCTATATCTATTCTTTATAACATCTATTATAAATTCTAAGGCCAATATGTATAAGGATGGCCTGTTCAAATTGCTAGGCCAGACCAGACACTTTCTGGCAACTATCTATAAACTATGACCAAAAGGAATGCCATAAGAAGTTCTATCACCAGCCCATTCTGGCTCTGAGTCAGAATGGGCTGCACCAACTGAGCTCGGACTCTAGGGGGAACCTAAGCTTCTCCCCTAAACTTGGCAAAATGGAACAGTCCAACAGGCAAAATAAACAGTGAGACTTTACATGTACACTGTCCAAAATTCCAAAATTTGGAAGATCATTTGTAGCAGAAGAGGGAGGGGGAGACAGGAATTTATACACAAAGCATCGGGGTTTTTTTAAACTTCAGAAAACAACTTCTAAAACATTCTTTTAAAATTTCATCTTTTGGGGTTGGAATAGTGTAATTTCAACAACAACTGATAAGAAATTAAAAAAAACCTACTGAAACCAAAACAGAGTAAATACCTAAGATATTTCTTTCAATTTTGTGAATAATTTAGGACTAATAGGTGAATGGTGATTAACATATGGGTTTCACTTTTATCCTTCTCTGATATAATCCGCCCTGTACGCTTAGGTCCTCTGCGGACATTTACTCCAACCAGCCAAAAAGCCCATTGCCAGCTATCATACAGAGGAGTTTTCATTGTCTGCCCCAGGACTATAGAATGACCTGCCTTAAGAGCTTTGACAGCTAAATGAGCTATCAGCATTCAAGACACAGCTGAAGAGCTGAAGTTTTATTAGTATTGGTGTTAGTCTTTGTCCTGTGCGTTTAAATAGTATTATATTTTATCTCTGTGTTTTAATCATGTTGTACATCACCTCAAACTGTGAGGAGAGGTAGGCAACAAGTTATTATTATTAACTTCCCTTTATTCATGTTTTTACATTCCATGTTCCTATAACACTCACCAACACACATTTTTGTGCCTCAAATGTTCGCCCTGTTTTTGGATATATTTGATCTGCTGGTTCCAAAAGTTGCACAAGTCTTTCCCTATCAGTTCTAGTTTTTGAGATACAGAACATATGCCCAATACCCAAAAATAAGACAGTGTTTTTGTTCCCAAGTATGCTCTAGGTCTTATTTTCAGGGGATGTCTTATTTTGTCTTATTCACATTTAAATGTCTTATTCACATTTATTGTTGGAACAAAAAAATTGAACATTTATTATATACTGTACAGTAGTTGTTAGTATATAATAAATATACTGGCCCTCACACACAGGGCCACAAAAAATAAGGGTTGTAAAGTACCTGGCTCTCACATACTGTCTTGTAACAATCTCCCACAGCAGTTCCTGGACCACTTAAAGAGCAGGGATAGTATTGCAGCTTCCAGCCACCAGAGGGAGCATGCTTCTAAACAAAAACTTTGCTAGGTCTTACTTTTGGGGAGGCCTTACATTTAGAAATTCAGCAGAACCTGTACTAGGTCTTATTTTCAGGGAGTGTCTTATTTTTGGGCAAACAGGGTATCACTCTTCATCTGCTCATCCATAGACAAACATAACCATATCTAAGAAACTAGAGCTGACGTGGTCCATCTAATGCAATTTTCTGAATCAGAGCCCCAAGTAACCAAAGGAACAGGCAAAAAAAAAAAAAACCCAAACAAACAGACGAGACAAGACACCAAGAATTTTGGCGGTAGGGCTGTCTAATATGTGTTCCACAGCTCCTTTCACACCTGGACATAACAACAGCTGAATGTTCTTCCAGCTTGAGTGCAGTCACATCATTAGCCACATGTCCTTGTCTTTTGTTCTTCCCTGGTAGCTGAATGCCTTCCAACCTGAACGTTCCATCTTTTGTACTATCTCTTTTCATTTTGGATTGTCTCATCATAGGGGTTTCATGATAAAAGACATTTGAAAGTGATTTACCATGCCTCTCTCAGTGCTATACAAACAAGCATTAGGTCTGATGCTACTACTGTTGTCTTTGAGAGATTGTCCACCAGTGTCGCAGAAATCCACCTACTGTTGCCCAACAGCTGTTTGGCACATTTTGTCTGGCTCTGCAGCAAAAGCCTGTCTAACACAGAAGACCCTACCAGCAGCACTGTTACTGTCAGCATAGCCTCAGAGAAGCACACAATCCTACCACTACAAAAAGATAGTGCCATGGTGGGATTTGTAGCTTGCACTCATATAAATTGAGGTCAGTCACATCCTTTGTCAGTACTAGCCTGAACCAACACACACACTGTCCCTTGAAAACACAATGTGCTTTATCTATAATCTGATGTCTTTGTTTACTACATAGCTGAACAGCTGGCTAATGCTAAGCACAGAGCTGAGTAAAATTACACACAGACACACTCATTTTCTTCTATTTAAAAAACCAGATATTTATTTATTTAATTATTTAAAACATTTCTATTCTGCCCTTCTCACTCCAAAGGGAATTCAGGGTGGAGAACAACATATAAACAGCAAACATTCAATGCCGGGACATAAATATACACATACATAAACATTAGAATCACTTATCTCAATGTTAAAATCCACTGTTTAAAACCATCTCAATATTGTATGTAATTGATTATACTATGTAACATGATTTTTGTTCCTGGATTATAAATGTCATTTTCCTCATTTTTTCTATCATAAAAACATGGGGAAAGTTTATTAAACTGGAAAAGCTTTGTTTTGCGGTTTGCACAAAAGGTTAAAAATGGCAGATTGAAAGATTATAAATGGCAGCCACAAAAATGAAGTTTCTGGAGTATAGCAACTACTTTCAAAATAAGTGCCACACATTTTTTTTCAAATTTTGTTACATAGTGTTAGTAACATCACCCAGAAAGAACAAGCAGTTGAACTATCAGATTGAGGAAAATAAAAAAAATACTTTGAAATCATTTAGAAAAAAGAACTCCTCAGCGAGTAGGAGCTGGTGTGGCAGGAACATAAATCATGGTCTTTCCATTAAAAAATCTGCTTTGTTTCTGTTTAAATTGTTATGTCTTCATTGAAATCAGTGCGTGCAACTTTTGTACAAAATTTGTGCTGCTTTTCTTTTTGAGAGTGTGTGCATCAGAGGCCATTTTAAATGCCAGTATGTGTGTGTGCAATCACATGTTGCTTTATGGTGACTTCATGAATGTCATAAAGTTTTCTTAGGGTGCATCTACATTGAAGAATTAATACAGCTTGATACCACTTAAATTGCCATGGCTTGGTGTTATACAATCCTGGGAGTTGTAGTTTAGTGAGGCACTGGCACCCTTTGGCAAATAAAACCCAAAAACAAACGACATTGTAAAACTAGAAGTTCCATGAGCCCATAGCATTGAAACTGACTGTTAAAGCAATGCCAAACTGCATTCATTCTACAGTGAAGATGCATGGAATAGAGAAGTGACTGTGCAGGTTTTTTTTTTCCTGAGGAAGCATCTCCACAGTAGAATTAATGCAGGGCTGTCATGTGTTTTCCAAGCTGTATGGCCATGTTCCAGAAGCATTCTCTCCTGACATTTTGCCTGCATCTGTGGCAGGCATCCTCGGAGATTGGGTTTATATATCTGTGGAATGTTTAGGGTGGGAGAAAGAACTCTTGTCTGTTGGAGGTAGGTGGAATGTTTCCATTGGCCACCATGATTAACATTTAATGGCCTGGCAGTTTTTAGGTGTGGCTTGTTACTGCCTGAGAAAATCCTTCTTTTTTTTTTGAGAAAATCCTTTGCTGAGAAGTGATTAGGTGTCCCTGATTGTTTCTTGTCTGGAGTTCTCCTGTGTTTGAATTTTGTTATTTATTTAATGTTATAATTTTAGAGTTTTTTTAATACTGGTAGCCAGATTTTGTTCATTTTCATGGTTTCCTCCTTTTTGTTGAAATTGTCCACATGCTTGTGGATTTCAATAGCTTCTCTGTGTAGTCTGATACGGTAGTTATTAAAATGGTCCAGCATTTCTGTGTTCTCATAGGTTGTCCAGGTTGGTTCATCAAATGCTCTGCTATGGCTGACTTCTCTGGTTGAAGTAGTCTGCAGTGCCTTTCATGTTCCTTTGGTGGGGACAAGGGAAAGAGCCTTCTTGTGGGGACAAGGGAAAGAGGTAGGCCCCCTACCTCTGGATTGCCCTCCCCAAGGAGATAAGGCTGGCCCCATCCTGTAAGAACTTGAAAACTTGGTGGTTTCATCAGGCCTTCGATAATGACAAGTCTCAAGCCCTTGGTCCAACAGTTAGGACTTGGCCTTGTACCGCATCCATCCCCCAGTTCCCTGTCATTTGAGGGCACCTTTTCTTCCAGCCAAGACCTTTTTTATAGTCCTTTAATTGGCCCTGGAATTGAGTGGCCCCAGTCCCCTAGTAGGGCCATTGCTGAGACCGATCCTTGTACTGTAGCATTTAGCCAGCCCCATTTTTCCCTTCTCCTTGCACTAGCCTTGACCCAGCCTGTTCCAAATAGTCCAGGCCCCTTATTGAAATCTTTGCCCCTGGCAGCTTACTTTGCATGAAGAAGAGAGTGATTTTTAAATTGATTTTAATGTATATGCTGTGTTAACAGTTGATGCCTATGTTTTTGTTTTATATTGTACATTTTTGTATTATTTTGCATATGTAGAAACCACTCTGAGACAAGGCGGTATATAAATAAAGTTTTATTATATTATTATTGATGTGTATTTGGCATTGTGGTCCCTATATAGACTTGTCCAGAACTGCATGGTATACAGTAGACTCCTGCAGAGGTGAGAGGATCCCTCTTGTCCTTTGCTGAATGTAGCATTTGTTGGATCTTCTTAGTGGGTCTGTAGATGGTTTGTAGGTTGTGTTTCCTCAACAGCTTCCCTATGCAATCAGTGGTTCACTTGACGTATGATAAGAACACATTTCACCTTGCAGTTTGATAACTGCAATCATGCAGTGCTATGCATTTTATAAGGTGCTTCGCCTCCTTCACTAAAAGAGCACCATGACAGTCAAAGTGCTGTCAAATTGCATTAATTCTACAGGGCAGATGCCTCCTAATAACAGTGAGAACTGCCTCTGTGTAGAAAATAATAGGATTTAGGGCAGTATTTCTCAGTCTGGGGGTCAGGACCCCTGGGGGTCACAAGGGGGTGTCAGTGGGGTCGCCAAAGACCATCAGAAAACACAGTATTTTCTGTTGGTCCTGGGGGTTCTGTGTGGGAAGTTTGGCCCAATTCTATTGTTGGTGGGGTTCAGAATGCTCTTTGATTGTAAATGAACTATAAACCCCAGCAACTACAACTCCCAAATGTCTAGTCTATTTTCCCCAAACTCCACTATTGTTCACATTTAGGCATATTGAGTATTCATGGAAATTTGGTCCAGATCTATCATTGTTTGAACCCACAGTGCTCTCTGGATGTAGGTGAACTACAACTCCAAAACTCAAGGTCAAGGCCCATCAAGCCCTTCCAGTATTTTCTGTTGGTCATGGGGGTTCTGTGTGCTAAGTTTGGTTAAATTCCATCGTTGGTGGAGTTCAGAATTGTAGGTTGATTGTAAGTGAACTATAAATCCCAGCAACGCCAACTTCCAAATGACAAAATCAATATCCCCCCAACCCCACCAGTATTCAAATTTTGGCGAATCGGATATTTGTGTCACATTTGGTCCAGTGAATGAAAATACATCCTGCATATCAGATATTTACATGACGATTCATAACAGTAGCAAAATGACAGTTGTGAAGTAGCAATGAAAATAATGTTATTGGGAGTCACCACAACATGAGGAACTGAATTAAGGGGTCGTGGCATTAGGAAGGTTGAGAACCACTGATTTAGGGTGTATCTCCTTTTACTTCATTCCAGCCACTCCAAGGCTCTGTCTGCAGGGTGGGTGCCTTCATCCTGGTTAAAATTCAACCGAGAGTCTGAGCTCCAGCAGAAAGCCTCCTCCACCCATTTGCACGCCTGCCCATCCGGGTCTTCCTCTTCCAAGAGGCCCCGCCTCCTTCCTCGCCTTCTCGCTGCCCGTCAATCAAGCCTAGCGTTCTCCTGGGGCGTCCGAGGCTGGTCGCGCGACGATGGCTCAGGTCCTGCGAGGCGTGCGCGTGATCAGGGTCTGCAACCCGCCCCTCAACACACTCAGGTAAGGGTCGCCAGGGAAAGACCCATGCTATGGGATCCTGGGAATTGTAGCTTGCACTCTGGCAGAGAAGGCGAAAAACCTTGCAAAACTTCAACTCTTATGATTCCATACCATTAAACCATGGCAGTTTGACAAGCTTTGTAGCTTTCTCTGCCAAAGGGTGGTGCTGCTGCACGAAACTACAATTCCCAGGATTCCACAGCCATGGCAGGTAAAGTGACTTGTAAATCACAGTGTAAATCAACCCCTAGATCAGCGTGATAGTAGGGTGCATCTATACTGTAGACTTAATGCCATCTGGCAGTACTTTTAATTGCCATGGCTCAATGCTGTTACCATGGGATATGTAGTTTGTTGATGTATCAGCACACTTTTGGCCAAAGAAGGCGCAAGGTCCGGTGAAATTACAACATCCATGATTCCAAAGCATTGAGTTGTGGTAATTAAAGTGGTGCCTAACAGCATTCTACAGCGTAGATCAGCCTTTAGCAAACTTTGTCCCTCCAAGTGTTTTGGACTTCAACTCCCACAATTCCTACCAGCTGGTACAGGCATGTAGCCGGGGGGGGGGGGGCTCGGGGGGCTTCAGCCCCCCCCCCGAAATTTTCATGGTGGTTCGCGAAAAGGCCTTACTGGTGCATTATTTAAACTGTTATGTTTATTCATATCATGATCTGATCACCATACTCAATATATCCCATATGCATGGGGGTATTGGGGTAATGATACAAAAGGTTTGCTAGGCTAGACCCTCTTTCACTCAGACTCAGCCCGCCCTGAAACTCAGCCCCCCCGAAACCCCCCCTGAAAAAAACTCACACCCCCCCCCAAACAAAATCCTGGCTACGGGCCTGAGCTGGTAGGAATTGTGGGAGCTGAAGTCCAAAACACCTGGAGGTCCAAGGTTTGCCCAAGCCTGATGTAGATGTCTGTCTATAGCACAACAAAAGCAGGATTCTAGCAAACAGTGCATATGGATTGTGAATGCTGTGATTGTATATCTTGCTATCCCCATATACACTATTAGCTGCAGCCATGCATGGTTTCTCCAAAGTAAGTCCTTGCTCCAAAGTAAGTCCTTGCTTGTAAGTCCAAACCTCTTGCATAATTGACCCAGGGAGAACCTATCTGAATCAATGCAGTTTGGTACTACTTTAACTGCCATAACTCAGTGTTATTGAATCCTGGGAGTTCTGGTTTCACCAGGTCTTTAGAGTGCTGGTGCCTCACCAAACTACAGATGTAATCTTTCAGTAGCATTGAGCCACAGCAGTGAAAGTGGTCAAACTGCATTAATTCTACTTAATGAAGCCCTATTGTTGGATGCCACTACACGAGAGAATTAATGCGGTTTGACACCACTTTACCTACCGTGGCTCAATTTGGTTTTACAAGACCTTTCGTTTTCTCTACCAAAGAGTGCTGGTGCCTCATTAAATGGACAACTATTCAAATTCCATAGCACTGAGCCATGGCAGATATTTTTTTTTTTTTGGTTGTGTCAGGAGTGACTTGAGAAACTGCAATTCGCTTCTGGTGTGAGAGAATTGGCCATCTGCAAGGATGTTGCTCAGGGGATGCCTGGATGTTTTGATGTTTTATCATCCTTCTGGGAGGCTTCTCTCATGTCCCCGCATGAGGAGCTGAAGCTGATAGAGGGAGCTCATCCACGCTCTCCCCGGATTCGAACCTGCGACCTGTCAGTTTTCAGTCCTGCCAGCACAAGTGTTTAACCCACTGCACCACCGGGGACTCCGCCATGGCAGATAAAGGGGTGTCAAACTGCATTAATTTGACAGTGTAGATGGGCCCATGAAGTCACTGTTTCACCCAGCAGGGAAAAGTAGCCATGACCCATCTTGAAATCACATATAAGCAAAGCAGATTATAGCTTGGATTACTTCTGGAAGAATATCCCTCACCACTGAAGAAGTAGTAAATCATCATCTGAAAAATCCCCGTAAACCAAAAGAATCTTGATTAATTTTTGTTGTAATCAGTAATGTTGTAATGGCAGGAGAAAAGTTGGTCATGGGTTGAGGACAAGTTAATATGTAAGCACAATGATGTCCTTTCCCCCAGACTTTGGATACTAGTAGATTGGGCGTAAAATATAGGATTCTCATTTATTATTAAAAGTTTTTTTAAAAATTTTTATATAACAAAGCATTTTGGATGTGAAATCTTTTTATGGTCTTCTGTCTTTGAGCTGAGTGATTGCTAAAGAGCTAACAGATGTATTATGCCATTACCTACAAGTCATTACATTCATGGAGTTTTATCCAGAATTTCAGGTATACTTCATTGGCGGTAGAATGATTGACAGTGAGGTTGGAGAGAGAATTAAAGGGCCAAAGTACCAATGGTTATGTTCAAAAAGTGGCCATTCATAAACATGGAATTCACGTTGCCTACCAAATGCAAGGGGCCACAGTAGTGCAGTGGGTTAAACCGCAAAGCTGCAGAACTTGCTGACTGGAAGGTCAGTGGTTTGAATCCACAGGACAAGATGAGCTCCTGTTGTTAGCCTCTGTCAACCTACCAGTTCAAAAACATGCAAATGTGGGTAGATCAGTAGGTACCTTTCAGATGTGAAGGTAATGACGCTCCATGCAGTCATCCCGGATGTGAGGGCGATCTGGCTGCAACATCTGTCACTCCACTGATTGTCAGGGTTGATTCGACTGATCTGGCTGGCTAGGCGGGTGTCCTCTTCCTCCCTCACTGCTCCATGTGCATCCCTCCTGAAGCTATGCACTTGGTGGAAGAGGATGATGTCCCAGGTATAGAARGAGTGTACCGAGGTCTCCAGTCTTTGGTCCCGGGTATACAATATATGCGCTCCCCTGCTAGAACCTCCAAACATGCTGGCCACATGACGTTGAAGGGTCTACTGACAAAGCCGGCTCTTCGGCTTAGAGTACACCCCCCCCCCCCCCGAGTTGAACACTATTAGACTTAATGTCAAGGGGAAACCTTTACCTTTACACCAAATGCAATATACATTTTAAAAATCCACATATAAAGGGAAYTCAAATTCATATTTATTTGAGTTCATTCAAGTGCTTCTGTCCTTTATCTGTACATTACCAGAGAAAGTTCAGAGCTGATGGAAAGTTTTAGCGTATTGAGTTCATTTGTATCAACTGCCAGAATACAACATAACATTTTTGGTAGTTCTTGTTACTCTACATTTTGAAGTGTTTATGATTTACATTTAATTGGTGATACATATCACAAATGTATTTTATGCAAGAAATGCATGGATTTCATCTGATAAGCAGGCTATGTTTTTGTTTATGACTTTATTGTCAGTATCAATTTACCCTGCAACTAGGGAAACCAAGGACTTTCTTCTACTGTGCTACTGTTTGCTTAGAAATGTTTGCTGCTGTATTAGTTCCCTCTAGTGGTTGCTTACATATGTTTCAAGTACCATGCTTTTGTGTGTGTCAGGAGCGGCTTGAAAAACTGAAAGTCACTTCTGGTGTGAAAAAACTTGCTGTCTGCAAGGATGTTGCCCAGGGGACACCTGGATGTTTTACCATCCTGTGGGAAGTTTCTCTCGTGTCCCTACATGGGGAGCTGGAGCTGACAGATGGGAGCTCACCCAGTTCCCCGGATTAAAACTGCCAACCTTTTTGGTCATCAGTCCTGCACCACCAGGGGCTCCATTTCCATTTTAAATTAAGGATAATATACATCACAAACAAATTTACCCAACATTGGACATCTCCAGATGTGACAGATATGTTGGGAAGTTGCAGTGTGTATTTGTTGCTGTAGTTCTTAATGTTCTGTTTAAGATATCGAGATGATATTTCTGTTTCCTAGATTATTTTCTGGTAATTTCCAATAGCAGCTGCAACACCCTTGCATAGATTACTTGTTAATTCTGAGCTGTATCGGAATACAAAGGAATTGAGTTATAGTGCATCCATTTGTCAATAGATCAGTTAAATGTCATTTTTGCTCTAGTGCCACACACACACGGAATCAGAGAGGAGGATACTTCTGTTTAAATCCAAAGGACTATATTATTTATTTATTTATTATTTGCCATATTTATATCCTGCCTTTCTCAACCCTGAAGGGGACTCAGAGTGGCGCACATAAAGGCACAATTTGATGCCATACAACACATATCCAGCAAATAAAGCATATACATTAGCAAACAATGCTAATTGCTTGTATCAGACAGTTGCTAAAGAATGGCATAAGGTGACAACAACCATTAACAGCTAAGGGATTATACTATAGGAAATCATACTGGGCTGAAATTAGTGATCTTGCTTATGCTTAGAATGAAACAAAAGTTGGATGGGAAGCACCTTGCAGTCTTTAAAATCTGTTCATACGAAATTTGGTGAAAAAAATGACCACAATGGCTTTTTTTAAAGGCCAAAGTTTGCTTCATAATGCCAAACTTGCACAAAGTTATAGGGATGTCAACCCCAATATCAAATTATCTGTTCACAGAACTTTACAATGGGCTTTCATCTGGTCACATTAGATAAGCCATTTGTGACTGAGTGTTTACACTAAGCACTTCAATAACAAAGCAGATGGGCAAACATTTTATTTTTTTAATATTGATTTTAGGACATTGAGAGAATTTTCCTAATGTAGTTCTCATATCCTATTTGCGGTATTATTTGTTTAGTGTATTTACTTTATAGTGGATACTGCTTTCAGACCCCTCACACACACACACACACACACTTTAATTGTTTGATTTATTTTAGCCCTGTTGTAACACAGGCTTTAGAACGTGATGTGAAACAGGCACACTCCGATCCCACAGTGAAAGCTGTTGTGATTTGCGGGGCAAATGGCAAATTCAGTGCAGGTAAGAATTTCTGAATTTTGTACCAATTTTTTTTTCTTATGTGAAAATATATTAAATTTTGCAGCTGTACTTTGTTTTATGTTTGTTAGAGACATGAAGAGGAAAAATATATGATCTACTTTCAGGAAACTATTTCTATTTGCAAAATGGAGGATAAAATTTAACTAGTATCCTTCTGATAACAGAAAGCATTAGTCAATAGCACAGATAAGGAAAGGTTTTGTGCTGTTTCCCCTTCCTCCAGTGGTATCCCACCAGCTTTCCAGAGCAGATTTGGATGAAACAAGTTGACAAGTTAGAATGTGTCCAGAGGAGGACAACTAAAATGATCAAGAGTCTGGAGAACAAACCCTATGAGAAGCGGCTTAAAGAATTGGGCATGTTTAGCCTGAAGAAGAGAAGGCTGAGAGGAGACATGATGGCCATATATAAATGTGTGAGGAGAAGTCATAAGAAGGAGGGAGCAGGCTTGTATTCTGCTGTCCTGGAGACTAGTACACGGAACAATGGCTTCAAGCTACAGTAAATGAGATTCCACCTGAATATTAGGAAGAACTTCCTGACAGAGCTGTTCAGCAATGGAACCCTCTACTCCATACTGTGGTGGAGGCTCCTTCTTTGGAGGGTTTTAAGCAGAGGCTGGATGGCCATCTGTCAGGTGTGCTTTGAGTGTGATTTTCCTGCTTCTTGGCAGAATGGGGTTGGACTGGCTGGCCCACGAGGTCTCTTCTAACTCTATGAATCTATAATTCTATGAAATGTAAAGGAGCTGCATAGTGAAGTGTGAATTGTTAAAAGTCTGCTTTCCCATCAAACAAATTGATGTTTTCTCTTGGAAAGGCCTAGTACAGTGTTTCTCAACCTGGGGGTCGGAATCCCTGGAGGGGTCGCGAGGACGTGTCAGAGGGGTCACCAAAGACCATCAGAAAACACTGTCTTTTCAGTTGGTCATGGGGGTTCTGTGTGGGAAGTTTGCCCAATTCTATAGCTGGTGGGGTTCAGAATGCTCTTTAATTGTAGGTGAAATATAAATCCCAGCAACTACAACTCCCAAATGTCAAGTCTATTTTCCCCAAACTCCACCAGTGTGGGCATACTGAATATTCAAACCAAGGTTTGGTCCAGATGCATCATTGTCTGAGTCCACAGTGCTCTCTGGATGTAGATGAACTACAACTCCAAAACTCAAGGTCAATGCCCACCAAACCCTTCCAGTATTTTCTGTTGGTCATGGGGGTTCTGTGTGCCAAGTTTGATTCAATTCCATTGTTGGTGGAGTTCAGAATGCTCTTTGATTGTAGGTGAACTATAAATCCCAGCAACTACAACTCCCAAATGACAAAAATCAATCCCCCCCCCCCCCCCCCCCCCCAATAACACCAGTAGTCAAATTTGAGCATATTGGGTGTTTGTGCCAAATTTGGTCCAGTGAAAGAAAATATATCCTGCATATCAGATATTTATATTACAATTCACAACAGTAGCAAAATTACAGTTATGAAGTAGCAACGAAAATAATCTTATAGTTGGGGGTCACCACAACTTGAAGAAGTGTATTAAGGGTGGCAGCATTAGGTAGGTTGAGAAACACTGGCCTAGTAGCATACTATCTGGCTGATAATAGTTGTCTTGTGTCAACCTTTGGAAGGATTTAATTGAGTCTTTGGAATACTGAAGTAGATTCTCATGTTTTTGTTTCGTTTTCTTAGGTGCCGATATCAGAAATTTTGCCAACATTGGCCAGAGCAAATTCCCCAGTCTTGAGTCAGTTGTTTCTTTAATAGAGAAAAGCGACAAGCCAATGGTAGCAGCTATTGAAGACTTGGCTTTCGGAGGAGGCCTGGAGGTAGCACTAGGTTGTCATTACAGGATTGCTAATATGAAGGTAAACAACAATAACAACAACAAATTTTAGGTCGATCATTTGCAACTTGATTTCTTTTAGATGTATTGGATCTTTGTCTGTAGTTTGGTAAACAACTGAGAGAGCATTTGCCTGCTTAGCAGTTCAAATCATTTTTCTAACTCTGAATATGAATCTCATTGTGTTCAGCTGCCACAGTGCAGCAGTGTTCACAGTAAATAGTGGCAGTTGTAATCTAACATGTCTGCTAGCATGATCATCCAGAAGTTTTTTTAAAAAACCAGGCCAGGAAGACAGCTCTCCTACCACCAACACTTCAGGTCGCTTATACTCCATTTGTTTGTTTGTTACTGCCTTTTTTCCCCCTGATGAGCTTCTCTTATTGCACAGATGCAACACTAAATTACTCACTGAGATCCATGTGGGAAAGCATTTAATTATCAACATGTTTATCTTTGCACAACAAGGACACTCCACCCTCATATCAATTATGTAGATATGGAAGTACTAGAGTTTCTGGGATCAACATTCACATTAGACATAAAATATGTTTACACAACACTTCTTCAGAGCTCGAAAAAAAGTGCCAAGAAGTAAAATGTATTTTAAATTGAGGAAAGAGCCTTTGAAACCTTGTGTAGTGAGCATGGTAAATTGAAAGATTACCATAGTTGTCTGCACAATTCACAGAACATTATTGTATAGCTGAAAAGAGGAAAGTAAAATTTATCTAGTCAACGCTGTAGCGGGTCTTCGCTGAACTGTTCACGCTGGCATGGTATGGCATGCCAGGAGATGAAGGGCATGGGATTAATCATTTTCCTGTAAAAATCAAATGAGTCTCAAGTTTTGCACTGTGGATAAATGCAGTTTTTAGAATGATTTGTTTAGAAAACGGTCTTGCTGCATTCAGCAAGATTTGCTCATAAGCAAAAGTGTACTAAATTGCAGCATTAGTAGTAACTCAATAGTTTCTGGAGTTGATTGTGCCTCTTATATAGTGTTAATAAGTAACAATAAAGCTTTATTTCTAGACCACCCTATCTCCCCAAGGAGACTCAGGGCTGTTTACAGCCAAAAGAGGCAAACATTCAATGCCCCAAGTACATGCAACACACACACACAAAATGCAAAATAATGCATACTGATAACAGTATTATTGCCCTGACACTCTCACTGTGGAGGAGGAGAGAGAAAAACTTGATTTGTGTGATTTTCCTGGTATTGATTTGCATTTTGAAACAAAGCAGTATGAAAAGATAGCAGATATTGTGCTTAGTACTTGGTGCGCAATCGGTCATACAAGCTGTTTTATTTTTGTAGCAATCCAAACGGAAAATTAGGAAGAAATTGAGTACGTGATTGTACTTTGTTATTACAGCTACTTCTGAGCATAAACATTTCCTTTGTTTAAATCATGGAAGCACCTTATAGAAAAACCTTTTTGGCCTGGCCTTGTCTCAGTGATGACTTCCAAAGGGCTCACCTTCCATGGTTATGGGGCCTCCTATGGTAGTGATTTTGATGGACTTTTTTGGCCTAGAAACACCTGCTGCATTTATTCATTTAACAATCGATTGTTGTTCATAGCAATAGCATTATCTCATCTCAGTCACTCTTGTATCTGTTTTAGTGTCGTCACCCTGAGCAAGCTCCAGATTAATATACATTTTGCAAAATGACTCCATATTTTTCAGGGTTTATATACATGTGTAGCTGTGTCCATAAAGAGCCTTTCTATTTAAAGAGAGATGGATGACTGTGACAGGTCTAGAAGCTAGTTTTCTACCTACAAAGGCTCTTTGGACTGCTAGAAAGGTAAAAATTGCCAAACCCCAGCAATCCCTGAAAGTCAGCTTTGCTTTTTACCAGGTCAAACAACATCAGGGATTGGGGCCTATAATCTTTTAAAAAGTTGTTTTTCCTGAAGGCTTCCAGGAGAAGTCGAGGTAATTGATCTTTTTTAGCCCAGAAAAAGGACATTCTTGGGAGAATAGAGGTGTTGAGCCCACACAAAGAGCTACAATTGGAACTTTGCCCATCCCTGTTGTAAATGAATTGGGTGACATGATAAGCTTGCTTCAGCAGAATTCTTTAACAAATGCCTCATTTGCTTCAGGCTCGGGTAGGTTTACCTGAGGTTACGATAGGTTTACTCCCTGGCGCTGGTGGGACTCAACGGCTTCCCAGACTGATTGGAGTACCAGCTGCACTCGATATCATCACTACAGGTAAATTCACTTAGATGTAAATACACACCCACAGATATTGTGTATGTACATCTGAGTACGGTATGTAACACGGACATGTTAAGACAAAGAAATACTTTCCAACAATATATTTGATTATTTAACATCCTGGATTCACGTGCCAAATAGTGAGATTTGTTTATTTATTTAAAACAGTTATATTCCACCCTCCTCACCCCGCAGGGGACTCAGGGCAGAGCTCAGCATATATATGGCAAACATTCAGTACCGGGACATAAAACCATAAATATATACAAACATTAAAATCACTTTTTGGACTGCTAGAAAGGTAAATATTGCCAAACCCCAGCAATCTCCAAAAGTCAGAAAAAAGTCAGAAGCTAATATTCTGCCTAACTGAACTCCCTTGTGCAGACTTTGAAGAAATTGCTTTTCTACAACTACCAGAATTGCTCTCTGCCAAAATCTCCAGTAGCTTTTCCTTTCTCCAACATTACATAATGTTACTCCAATATACAATTAAGGAATAGCTGACATTGCTTCATCTAGAGCAAGGTTAATGTCTTCACCAAAAATGCCTCTTACACTGCTTGAATTTAATCTGAAGGCCTCTTTTATCTCAGGAAGACATGTGCCAGCTACTGAAGCACTGAAACTAGGGATCCTCGATGAGGTTGTGGAAGAAAACCCAATCGAAGCCGCTATAAACTTGGCACAAAGAGTAACAGGTAACAGTCCTTTACTATTTCAGATATCATTAATATTGTGCTACTAATTTGATTTTGATATCTATGAATCTTTTTTCTACTGTTTAACCTAGGTCTATTTTTATTTATTATTTATATATTTAGAGCATTTGTATCCCATCCTTCTCAACCTCCGAAGGGGGACTCAGGATGGCTTACAATTGGCAGTCATTAGATACTGACAAAGAAACAGTTATAACATATCAATTCACATAAACAAGTCAACAGCAATTCAAACACATTTAAAAAGCAATAGAAATACATTAAAATATTAGCCCTTAAAATATTAACACAACCAAGTCTGAGTTCACAAATCCAAATCAAGGCCCAGAGTTCCAGTGCAAGGTTTCTTAATTGACAATTCTTACGAGTCATTACAGTTGTTGCTCAGCCAGCTGCCTGAATGCTTGGTCCCAAAGCCAAGGCTTGAGTTTCTTCCTGAAGGAGAGGAGAGAAGCAGTTGCCCTGATTTCACTGGGGAGTGCCACCACCAAGAAGGCCCTGTCTCTCGTCCCCACCAATCGCACTTGCGAGGCTGGTGGGATAGAGAGCAGGGCCTCCCCTGACGATTGTAAACTCTGAGGTGGGTCATAGAGAGAGATACGTTCGGACAAGTAACCTGGGCTGGAACTGTTTAGGGCTTTATAGGTCAAGACCAGCACTTTGAATTGTGCTCGGAAGTTTTCCACTTATACAATTTGCAGCAAAAATGTTTCTGGAACTTTCTCTATTTTCTTCTTTGACAACAATTAGATGTCTGTTGTCCAATAATAGTAACAATAATGCTTCATATTTCTAACTCACCCTCTCTCCCCAAGGGGACTCAGGGCGGCTTCCAAAAATAAAATGGCAAACATTCAATGCCATGTGCAATATCAAAATAAACAAAATAAGCAAAAACAGGCAAACAAAACAAACAATGAAATGGCTTAGAAGGACAACAAGTTCAAAGAGCCTGTAGGAGCACCTGAGGCCTGCATGAATCACTGAACACAGTGTTCTTGGTGTAATTCCCTCATGCAGATGTTGTTTATTGAGACTCATTACCAGCAAATGGCTGGACACAGTTTTGCAGCAAAGCAAAATGATCTCCAATTGTAACAAAAACAGTTGGCTGTGAATTTAAAAATGGAGATACACTTATAATGGAGTGTTTTGATCACACCATTAGTTTAATAGCACTACCTTATAAAGTTTAACCTACAAATAAATCCCATTAAGGGGCGAGTGCTTCTTGCTAAGGTTGAAATTTTATCCACGCTTTTCTGAGGAAAAGTCCTATTAAATTCAGCGGGGCTTACTTCTGAATCAGCATGCACGTAATTGTGCTGTTTTGTAAATATCTAAGAAACAAATGATTAAAAAAACTAGATAAGTGGTGTTCCACTAATCCTCCCTTCTGCCCCCTACCCCAATATATGTTGTGTTACCTCTGCTTTCTGCTTTCCTGGATATAACAGTTGCAGTATTGGGAGTCCAGCATAGGTAGTGGGTTCCAATACAGGAACATCTAGAGCAAGGGTCCCCAAACTAAGGCCCACGAACCGGATATGGCTCTCTTCCAAGGTCATTTACTTGTCTCCCACCCTAAATATTAGACTTAGGGTCACCCTAAGTATTACACAACTTGAAAGCACACTACTACAACAATCCTAATTAATTTGACTATTTTACCATCTAAAAGTAGGCCCACACTTCTCATCGAAATACAGGTAAGTTTGTGTTGGTTAAATTTGTTCATTTGAAATATTGTATTGTTCTTTCAATTTTGTGTACTACAAATAAGATATATGTGCAGTGTGCATAAGAATTCATGTTTTTTTCCCCAAACTATAGTCTGCCCCCCTCAAACATTCTAAGGGACTGTGAACTAGCTCTTGGATTTAAAAATTTGAGGACCCCTGTCTTAAAGAGTCAGAAATCCCAAGGAAATGCAGAAATGCTGAACCACTCTAACAACTGCCATGTCAGACTACACAGAGAAACCACTGAAATCCACAAGCATAGATTTCAACAGAAAGGAGGAAACCATGGAAATGAACAAAATCTGGCTACCAGTATTAAAAAAACCTCTAAAATTAGGACAGTAAATAAAGAGCAACACCAAAAAAATCAGGGAATTCCAGACAAGAATAAATCAGGGCCAGCTAACACCTCCCAACAAAGGATCCCCCAGGCAGCAACCAGCCATTCTGTGAAGCTGCAATGCCATCAAATGCTAATCAAGGTGGCAATTGCAACATTCAAACTTGCCTCAAATAGACAAGAGTTCTTTCTCCCACCCTGGACATTCCACAGATATATAAACCTCACTTGCCTAATTTCCAGCAGACCTCGCCTCTGAGGATGCCTGCCATAGATGTGGGCAAAATGTTGGGAGAGAATGCTTCTGGAATATGGGCATACAGCCTGGAAAACTCACAGCAACCCAGTGATTCCAGCCATGAAAGCCTTTGACAACCCAAAGGGGATATATTACTTGTTCCCTTTCCTTCAGGTTGGAGGTTTGATTCCAGGGAGAGCATGGATGAGCCCCCTCTGTCAGCTCCAGCTCCCCATGCGGAGACATGAGAGAAGCCTCCCACAAGGATGGTAAAACATCAAAACATCCAGGTGTCCCCTGGGCAATGTCCTTCTAGATGGCCAATTCTTTCACGCACAAAAAACCCAGCTAATTCATTATTGCAACATGCTATCTGTCCACCTGATGGCACCAAAACCTGAAAAATAAGGTTTCAGCTTACTGATTGTTCTTTGTATTTAGGAAGCAGCTACTGTGCCATACTTAAAACAAAGCATGGGTAGGAGCTGCTTTTGTAGCAATAGCGTTTCCAACGTCCTTAAATAGTCAGCAAATTGTCATTTTAGCTGTAATGCAAAGGCAGGAATGCTTCAACATGTTCCAGTTTGTACCTTTGAGACAACTTTCTGGAACAGCAGATTTTACTGGCTAGAGCTGCCAACAGCAAGCTTCAAGAGGAGAGACTATTAACCTTGTTGAACCCAAAACAGATCTACAGTACGAACAAACTCTTTCCTGAAATATAAGCCGTGGAAAAACTGTTTGCATTTGTGTTTGCATGGAGCTTTAGGAGGTTTGTCTGCCAGAGTCCATATTGAGCATAGTCACCTTCTAGCTGGATATGTATGTATATACAATTGGAACAAACATAGGTGTGGGTACATATATAATTTAAGGATGCATGGTAAAGCCTACTGAATTTTGTTATTTGTATATTTAACCGTGAAGTGTGATGTTAAAGTACCAAATTAGAAGCAAAAGTAGCTCAAGCATGACACAATATCAAGCACCATAGCAACAACAATCTGTCTACATCAAGGTTTGCAAGTCCAGTCAAGTAACTAAGCAGATGATGTTATACCTGCCCATACTCATGGTCTTAAATTTCCTAGGCTTCTCAAGACACTCCTATCCTAAAAGTTGTCCTGCCTTCACTGGTGATTATGTATAAACCATGTTGGGTTACCTCTACCTACCTGACCATAATGATTGAAGGAATAGGGAGTGTTGGATGAACCTTTTGGAATAGGTGTTTGCAAAAGTCTGTGAGTTCAATATCAAAACAATAGATTTCAGATGATCTTGATCTTCCTGACTTGATATTATATGGAAGAGAAAGGAACAATAATACAAAATAAGCAAGATATAATGTTACAATACTTTATGTAAAGCCTCTTGCCTTCATTTTGTACACCTGTGGAATTCTGAACTGGATGTCATCCTATACCTTCTCTGGTAAACAAAATGAAAAGCTTCAGAAGTTCCTTTTCCCCTATAACACCAGGATTTTTCTCCAATCTGCCTCAATGCATAAACAAATATGGTATAGAATTAAACATTCCAGTTATTTAAATCTCTTACCAGTAAAGGCATTACAGGCAGCCCACAAGTTACATAGAAGATAGGTTCGGTAGGTTTGTTGTTAAATAAGCTGCCTTGAATCAGTAAGCCACCTTTAGTCACCTTCAAGTTCGGGAAAGGTGGGATAGAAACAACATAAATAAATAATTAGAATTTGTGTACAAATTAGAACAGGTACATTTTTAAAAGTCTAACTCCAGCTGTGTGTGTGTTTGTATCTATATCTTAACTATATATAGATATAGATATAGCTTTGGCTAGCACAGAGAAGGGTTAACACCCTTATGGGGTTTGTTTTGCTGTCTGTGTTCTTGTTCAGAAGATTTCACCTCACTTTCCGTCCCTTTGAAGTTTGAAAAATTTGGCTTGTTGTGGAAACAAGGATTGGTGACAAAGCTTCAATTGTGGCATCTTTCCCCCACAATCACTCTTCCAGGAGTGAATTTCCCTTCTGAAGAGTAAATTCTTTCACTTCCTGTTGTCTCACCCATTTGTAATTATAAATTGTTTATAAGTAGGATTTTGTAACTCGAGGACTGCCTGTATTGAGAAGGTAAAATGGATGGGAGAATTAGGGTAGATTAATGTGCTAACTCAAATGTTTGCACTGTATGCTGATTTCAGGAAAAGCTTTGTTGACCCTTGTGGAACTCACTTCTGTTTTCAAATAAATGTTATAGGATTAGGCAGTGGGAGATTTGATATTTCATCAAACAGGAGTGGCGTGCCAGACTGAAGCTCCTATCTCAGAGCCTATGGTTTAGCATACAAATAGCAAATAGGGAAACCTAAGAGATAATGAGTCCAGCATATATCTCTAAATGAGGGAAGACTTCTTTCCCATATACTTTCAAACTAAAAATTGAACTTTTTGTTATAGCCTGGGAGAAAAACAAAGGGCACCAGGCTGACAAAAAGAGATTGCTAAATTGACAAAGTTGCATATCTGTTACTTCAAACTGGTAGCCAGATCTAACAGAGGAAAGGGCAAACACCATTCATATTTAGATATAAAAATAGATAAGGTTTGTCACATGTTTCCTGAAATTGCTTTTTTTAAAAAAAATTAAAAAGCCGACAACAACCCTTAAATATAGTCGTGGATTTGGGTCTGTTTCTACCGAAAAGGAAAATCTGGAGTTATCAATTAAAATCCAATAAAGTATGAAATGCAATCTAAAATGTAAGCGGATAAAAGAATAAGAAAAGGAGCAGTATATGGAGAAAGGGCGTGCAGTGTTTAACAGACAGCATTCTAGAGGCAAAACTGGACATAGAACATGCTCACAGGAAGCTTATTAGGCAACCTCTCAGAAGCTGCAAAACATTATAATATGTGCTCAGTTTTTCAGAGCAATTGTGAAAGTTGCTGACTGAGCTTCTACCTGGATCATTTTGGATAAAAATTAACAAGTGCAGGATTTTGGTTGTGAGATCAAAATAAAGTATTATTTGAATACATTGAGAGATAGGGGGAAATGCATATGAAACTCAACTCTAGATGAGAGTTCGTGTGATTTGAGCTCTATGAGGAAGAAGAAAAATACACAAATTGATCTACAAATCATGATGTCAAGGGGAAAATGCTTTAACAAGGACGTCGCCTTTAAATTCAGTTTATCTAATCTTTTTCTCAGATTAAAGGTAAAGGTAAAGGTTTCCCCTTGACATTAAGTCTAGTTGTGCCCAACTCTGGGGGATGGTGCTCATCTCCATTTCTAAGCCAAAGAGCCGGCGTTGTCAGTAGACACCTCCAAAGTCATGTGGCCAGCATGACTGCATGGAGTGCTGTTACCTTCCCGCTGAGGCAGTACTTATTGATCTACTCACATTTGCATGTTTTTGAACTGCTAGGCTGGCAGAAGCTGGGGCTAACAACAGGAGCTCACCCCACTACCTGGATTTGAACTGCCGACTTTTCAGTCAGTAAGTTCAGCAGCTCAGTGGTTTAACTTGCTGCACCACCAGAGGGCGCAGTGGGTATATGGAGCATCTGTACATATACAGCCATGGAAAAATCTAAATGCATGGCTGCAGTTCTGCAGACAATTTATTTTGCAACAAATCCTATTGTACTTAATGAGATTTAAGACTGAGAAGCAACTTTGTCCTTGCACTAAGGGACAGAAATGTATGGTTAGCTGGCCAGATTCAGGTGCTGAGAATGACTGCTTGTGCTATTCTATTTCCTTGCCTTGTATAGGTCAGCCATTGGGACCTCGCAGACTCTGCCTGAAAGAAATACCCAAACTACCCAACATGGAAGCTTTCCTTGATGAGGCTCGCCTGAAAGTCAAGAAAAGGGCAAATGGGCAGCTCTCACCACAAATGTGCTTTGAAGCTGTACGAGCCTCTGTGTGCATGCCCTTTGCAGAAGGAATTCAGAAAGAGCAACAGCTCTTTATGTACCTCTTGAGTTCAGGGCAGTCTAAGGCATTGCAGTATGCCTTTTTTGGACAGAGAGCCATGGAGAAGTGGGTGTTGCCCAACGGAGCTTCATGGGAATCTGCAGCCCCTCAGCCAGTGAAAAAAGCAGCTGTGATAGGTGAGTCTATTGGGAGTATTCCACTTGCTATCAGAGAAATCTTACTAATTTTCAGTGCGCCTATAAAGAGCACCCATGTACTGTTGAAACTGAATGGCAGCAACTCTCTAGGGCAGTGGTTCTACAACGCCCAGAAATCCCAGCCAGTTTACCAGCTGTTAGGATTTCTGGGAGTTGAAGGCAAAAACATCTGGGAACACACTGGTTGAGAACCACTGCTCTAGGGTTTCAGGCAGGATTCTTTCCTAACTCAACTTGGAGATGCCATGATTTGCATAGTTAAAGCTTGTGCGCCAGCTGCGCCCGTACCTTGGAAAGTCTGACTTGGCCACGGTAGTCCACGCTCTGGTTACATCCCGTTTAGACTACTGCAATGCTCTCTATGTGGGGTTGCCTTTGAAGACGGCTCAGAAGCTCCAACTAGTCCAACGCTCGGCAGCCATGATTTTAACAGGAGCGGAGCGCAGGGAGCATACAACCCCCCTGCTGTGCCAACTCCACTGGCTACCGATTTGCTACTGGGCTCAATTCAAAGTGCTGGTGTTGGCCTTTAAAGCCCTAAACGGTTCCGGCCCAAGTTACCTATCTGACCGCATCTCTGCCTATGAACCCACCAGGGCTTTGAGATCTTCCGGGGAGGCCCTRCTCTCGATCCCGCCTGCTTCTCAAGMACRGTTGGYGGGGACGAGRGAYAGGGCCTTCTCGGTGGTGGCCCCTYGGCTGTGGAACGCCCTTCCCAYRGACATTAGGCTAGCACCATCTCTAATGGTATTCCGTAAAAAAGTTAAGACCTGGTTGTTTGAGCAGGCRTTMRAATARYTMGTRCAATAATTGGTAATGAACATAGGAATGGAAAATGGTTGACGAGTYTGGATTATGTTTTTGTGGATGAGATGATAGTGATTAGTTATTGTAATAAGTGTTTATTAATTGTGTGCTGCACGGGATTGTTAACTGTTTTATATCTAGCATTGAATTTCTGCTGTTTTTGTTGGTTGTGAACCGCTGTGAGTCACCTTCGGGCTGAGAATAGCGGTATATAAGTAAAGTAAGTAAGTAAATAAATAAAATAAATGTGGGACCTTGAAAATGAAAGGCAGATGCTCCAATGCAGCCCTTCCCTACCTATTGTCCTCAAGTTTTGTTGAGCTACAACCCAAACAATTCAAATAGTGGAAAGGTATCAGGTTGGCAGAGGGTTTTGAACTCCTTAGCTGCTCTAAGGGCCTCCTTCACTGTAGTTTCACTATTAATATATATTTTATAGAAATATATTTTAATATGTATATTTTATAGAAATACATTTAATTAATATGAGTATTTGTGGTATTTTTACAGTGTTCATGTGTTTTAATTATTCTGTAACCCGCCTCGAGCCACAAGCAGAGGTGGGCAAGAAATTTATTTATTTATTTATTATTTACCATATTTATACCCTGTCCTTCTCACCCCGAAGGAGACTCAGAGTGGCTCACATATAGGCAACAATTCAATGCCACACAAACATACATCCAACAAAATAAACCTATACATATACATTAAAACCAACCACTAAAACATCTCAAACATTGAAACCAATTATTAAAACCATGTAATCCAATATCATAGTCCGAGGCCATTCCAGGCATCATTGCACTATTCCATATTCACTTGTTGCACTGAAAAATTACTTTCTGAATTATTATTATTTTTATTATTATTATTATTTAAAACCTAATTTGGATGGAGGAAAGCCAAAGCTGGATTTGTTCAGAGCTACCCTCTCCCCATTTTCATTTATCTGAGATGTTTTACACACAAAATAATAATAATAATAATACACTTTATTTATATCCCGTCACCATCTCTCCAAAGGGGACTCGGGGTGGCTAACATGGGGCCAAGCCCAAATAACAATACAACAAGAAAAAATTCAAAGAAACAAAATAGCATCAAAATAAACACATGAAATGACAGAATAAAATAAACAGTCTCAAAAACAACATGATAGAAAGATGAAACACAGGGCGGGCCAAATGTGCTAGGAGTAAAATTGATACAAACCCTGGATGAGATTAGAATAATGTGTGTCTGAGGGAGAATAAGTTTCTCAGGGAGGAGCTCAAAAGGGACAAAGAAAGAGGTGGGCCTTCAATTAAGGATGGGGGGTGAGTGCGTTTTGAGGGCAGAAACTGAAGTCGGGACACCCAGTGTATGGGGTATGTCTTCACTCGTCAAAGGCACACCGGAAGAAGCAGATTTTTAAGTCTTTCTTGAAGGCTGCCAGGATAGGGGCTTGCCTAATCTCGCTTGGGAGTGAGTTCCAGAGCCGTGGGGCCACAGCGGAGAAGGCCCTCTACCTTGTCCCCATAAGACAAACTTGTGATGGAGGGGGGAGTGAGAGGAGGGCCTCCCCGGAAGATCAAAGAGATCAAGCAGGCTTATAAAGGGAGATGCGGTCATGGAGGTAGGCAGGTCCCAAACCATTTAGGACTTTACAGGTGATAACCTGCACCTTGAATTGGGACCGGAAAAGGAACGGCAGCCAGTGGAGCTCCTTAAACAGAGGGTAGACCGCTCCCTATAATGGCAAACTTTTATAAGGAAGATCATGGGTGTGGTTAACATGGACATACTTAGAACGGTGCTATCCATTCAGTGCTGGCTTCCTTTCTCAATGTTGCCCAACTGTTTATAGTTCTAGAGTTCACAATTCCTCTGCTTCAAACAATTCAATGTGTATCCCTTCTCAAATCTCCTCTAAAGAGAGAGAAAAGGCAACCTTTGACCTATTCCACCTCTTCCCACCTCACTGATAACCTCCACCTTTCCCCACTGAGTTCAGAGAACTTATTTCTCACACACATCCACACCCCCCATGGTTGCCTACCTCTGGAGTACATCTTATTGGTTGAACAAGCCAAAAAATTATTGCACTGCATGGAATCTTTTGGAGTATGCAGTTTAGCATTTTTATGGTAGTAATAATAGAGACAGAAGAAGGCTTTTTCTTGTGAGACCAGCGCTTTGTCTGTGCACCAGCTGGCTGCCAGAGTTAATTGGCAAAGGGGCTCGCTTTTGCTCTGCCTCCTCCTTCAGCTTCGGAAGAAACGGAGGAACAGTGACACCCCCAAAGGAAGCCTTGCCCTGCCTCAGAGATAGTCACCATTTTCCCACTTTCATGTCATTCATGTGCCCATAAACCATGCGAATGCAGAGGGCTAATTGTATAGATATATATGGGAGGAGGACTTGTTCTCCTTTGCCACAGTTCACCCTAAGTGTGTTCCTTCTAGGGGAGCTGTCAAAGTCTGGGGCTCTAATTTCACCCTCGATTTCATGCAGACTCTACGGAACCAAACCCAGTATTCAGGGATGTAGTTATTTCCAAATGTTGTGTTGGCCACTGCCTTTTAAGAAACTTTCATCTCATTGCGATGATCCACTCTTCCCATTTTGCAGTCTTCCATTATCTCTCCATCCAGCCTGCGGAAGATAATGCCCTCATTAATTTTTCATTAAGGCAGTAGGAATGAAACTCTTTGATGTTCTACACACAGATTTCTCAATAACCCCCTTCTCTTCTGCATATTGATTGATATATACTCAGTGGGAGGCTATGCTCTTAAGTGGCCCAGCCCTAAGTAGTGGCCCTTTGATTTTTAAGAGAGTGCTTGCTGTCTCATCTCTTCACTGTTCTTCCCACAACATCCCTACCCACAACTTGGTAGATACACACACACACACGGCTTTGCTGCAGCATGTACAGCTTGAGCTCTCTGCAAGCTCACCTCAGCATGATGCAGCCCTGAGCAGTATGTCTTCATCGTATGTCCCCTTCCCTCTTCCACTTTGTAATCTTAATTATTGTTCTCTGCATGATTCATCCCCCTTGAACACACATATCTTGGGGTAGTGAGTTAAATCTGCCAACAGGCTTGAACCTTTAATTCAAAACTCATTCAATGGCGAACTGACATTCATGTAAAGCAGCATAGAGCCTGTGGCTCAGCACACGTGGGAGTTTGTTGTTATTATTATTCAGTATGCAGACATAAATGTATGTCTGCATAATCTACATTACCATAAAGGCTTGGGTGGAAAGGGTCTCCATTTTGGGTTTCATGGGAAATCACGAGTGACAGGTTTGCTGCTAGACGAGTGACAAATATGACAAAACACTCTCTGTTATGTAAATGCAGATACAGGTCAAATCAGACGTATTCATTCTGAATTACCATTACAATGGAATGGAGCAAGACTGGTTTACTCAGTGGAGGGTCCTACTACAAGTCAATTCTAATCCTAGAGAGCACTTAGTAGAAACACATCTATCAACATCTGTTCCATATGACAAAACCCTATTTGTGGTTTGTTTTTTGTTTTTTTGTAGGCAAAGGAAATAGAAATAATTGACACTCTAATTGAGAATTTACTATCTCAATATATTTGAGTGTGTTTAAGCCTACTGTATTTTCTATAATACTTCTTTATAATTATGCATGGGTCACTGCGTATGGCTACAGACTTGCTCAATTGCTTCAAGCAAAGTGAATCAGCAATGCTTTTAAGACCTTTCTAGAATGTATTTTGCATGATTGATCATTGCTTGAACATTTCTGGTGCTCAGCTACCTAAAAAAATGTGATCCATCTTTTGTTGTTATATAAATAACTGTTTGGAGGAGATGGGGAGATTTTATCGGTAATATCTAATTAACCCAACAAGACTTTTTATGACTTGAATATACACACATATATACATACACATACACACAAGACACTAATAGGATTGAATTCTGCTTCTCCCTGTCTTTTTTGCAGTGGGAAGTGCTTTAACTTAAATATTTAAATCTTGCTGAGGAGGAAAAGGAAAAGGCTTGAGTCTGTTAGGAATTGTGGGAGTTGAAGTCCAAAACACCTGGAGGATCCAAGTTTCCCCATATCTGTGCTAACCTCTAGCTTTTACATTAATTGTTATGTTTCCTCGGCTCTTTATAAAGTAAACTAGAGCAGGATTGAGCAGGAGTAGATTGGAATTTACTGGTAGATCTTGGGCTTGTAATCATTCTTAAGAGATCTCAAATCTATGCATTTATTTAACAACACCAAGGCTTAAGTTGTCAGATACGTTCCTTCATCTATAGTAACTTAGATTGATATTTTTGCATGAGGCCATTTAGTGAATTACTTACTAGTGCAAGAGCTCAGTGGTTCTTTGTCCACTGTTGGAATTGGGAAAGATATTTCTTTGGACTATAGTTCCCACAGCTTTCCAGCCAACATGCCCATTGCTATTAAGTCTGAAAAATGTTGAAAACCATACAGTAATTATTTCAAATTCTACCACCGCCATTCCTCTCCAAACGCACAAAAATCATTGTTTGATATCTGGCTTCAGCTGGTGAACCTCAGTATTATCCTAAAACTTGTAGTATTAAGGATTTCAGTTATTTTTCATAAATCCCAAAGATTTATAGATCCTTGTTCATATAAGCAATTCACATTCATATTTTTGTTTAGCAAAACAACTCATTTATACTCTAGATATTTTGTGGAATTACAATGCTTCTAATGTGTTTGTCATATCATTCTGGACCTTTTACCAAACCTCAGGCAGTGATAACTCAGTTATGGCCCTGAATATTGTGTATCAGAGGAGGTCTTGCTCATGTTATTGTTTGTCCCTGCAGTACAAAGGTAATTGGTCTTCATCATGTAGTTAGATGCTCAAAGCACAGAGTGGGTACCTTTATGAATCCCCCCCCCCCCCAAAAAAAAGAACTGTTTTGGATCAAGAATATAATCAGCACGTAGCTGGGTATATTGGAGAGCTGTCTCACAGAGGAAACACAATGTGATGTCAGCTAAGGCCATAAAAAGCTTGAGCAGGAAGCTTGTTGGCAGCCTTGCATAATTGCAGTTAATTAGATCCAATCTTTCCAGACGTAATGAAAGCCAATAAATATTGATAGCATACTCCACACAGATGGTAATAACTCCAAAATCTTAAGACAGGAGAGTTAAAACATACAAAAAGGCCACCGGATTGTCAATACCAGTTTCCCTTCCATTCTGTTCATAACAATATTAAACTGCTCAGGTGTTACAGATGGATGCAAGTATGCATAAGCATTAGGCACACACATTACTTCCTCTTTTTTTCTGAATACAAAGGGCAGAAACAAGAAGCCATTAATTTGCAGACATGGTAAATTAAGATTTATGCAAACCATAAGTTGGCATGAAAGTCAAAATCCCAAACCATTGCATGCCAAGTTAATTGCCTCATCCAGTGCAGTCCATGTTTTGTGACTGACAAAGTTGTTTGGAGGTGTGATATGGTAGCCATCTTCAAAATACCTGGAAGTGTCACTAGAAAGATAGAGCGAGTGTGGTTGTTTGCTGTTCCAAAGGGTAGGGACAACCAACTATACAGTAAGACAGAGACTCCAACCTAATATCAAGATGAATGTTCTCATGATGATAACTGTTCAACAGTGGAATGGTCTACCCTGCAAAAAAGTAGATTATCCTTTGTTAGAGGGTTGTAAACAGAGGCTGGCCATTTCAATTAATGTGATGGGTTCCTGATTGGAAGAGTTTTAGTTTGGGATGTCCTCCAGTCTTACCTCTAAATGTCTATGAATGAATGTCTTGGTTTAAGCAGAAAGATAAATATAATATATTCTGCTTTTGTTATTGTGGTTTACTTGGATGTTTTAGGCTACAATTGCAGTGGTTTTGCAGTGATGAGGACTGTGTGAGTAAGCATCTCTGTGAGGATTGTAGGTCAAGAAGTCAGATCTGAATCATGAACTCACTACAGTTGCTTCCACATCAAAAGCTGCTAGTAGCACTAATAAAAAAAAGCATTTTGCAGCATTTCTTTTTTTTCTACTTAATGGATGGGAGCAAGGAGATTTAAAAATAGGAGAAGTAGTGAAAAATGGGGAAATCACAAACAATCCAGATCCTCTATCCATTTCTGCGAATGAATTTTGGCAATTTCACAACCTCCTTTGAAAGTACCCTTTGTGCCATTTCTTAGCATCCTTTGCACAGACAGGAACACTAATACTGACTGTTCTTACAGGATTGTTGTCTAAGAAAACACTGTAGATGAAGATTTGAACATTCTAAAGAACTGTTTATTTTTAACTTGTATCCCACCTTTCTCGCACTGTGGGACCCAAAGTGACTGTATAACTATATAGAATTATATGTAAGATTTGTTGTTAGATCAATGGCTTTGTGACATCTAGGAAATTCCTAATTTTTATAGAAATCTTTTCTAAATATAGGCAATCCCCGAATTACAAACATCCGACTTACAAACTACATATAGCTAAGTTCGGGGGTGAGACAACAGGAAGGGAGAGAAATCTACTCCTCAGAAGGGAAATTCTCTCCTGAAAGAGTCATCATGGGGAAAAGGTGTCTCCACTGAAGCTTTCTCGCTAATCCTTGTTTTCACAACAAGCCACATTTTTCAAAGTCCAATGATCACAGGGACAGAAAGTGAGGTGAAATCTTCTGAACAGGGGCACAGACTGCAAAACAAACACCACAGGGATGTTAACCCTTCCCTATGATATCCATAGCTCCTATCTATCTGTCTATCTATCTATCTATCTATCTATCTATCTATTACTGGAATTCAACTTTTAAAATGTATTTGTTCTGACTTACATACAGATTCAACTTAAGAACAAACCTTCAGAACCTATCTTGTTTGTAACTTGGGGACGGCTTGTAGTGGAAGGGAGTAGACTCTCCTACAAAACATGTAACTTGCATGAACACTAATGTCACTTTGCATTATAAATTTTGAATTTACCACTTTACATTTAAGAAAGTGGTAAGTAAAATGAATTCAGCTGAGGCTTTGCTGATGTTTTCCAGTCCTTGTAGTTTTCATGTTTTTTGTTAGTTCACATACTATATTGGATGTGAAAATCTGCTTGATAAGCCACTCTCTCCCAGTAATTCCTTCTCTCTCTTTTCTTTTATCTCCAGGATTGGGAACGATGGGCCGAGGCATTGTGGCTTCTCTGCTGAAGGCTAAAATTCCTGTGGTGGCTCTGGAGCAGGACAAAAAGCAGCTGGAGGTGGGAAAGGCAGCTGTTATGGCTCTGCTAGAACGTGAAGCTTTAAAAATGCAGCAGAGTGGCCAAAAACCGAATAAGCCTATAGTCCCTCAGTTTACTTTGGATTTTGGTGCCCTGAAGGATGTAGATTTAGTCATTGAGGCTGTGTTTGAGGAGATAACTCTCAAAAAGGAAATATTCCAAAAATTGTCAGTAATCTGCAAACCTGAAGCCCTTCTTGGTACTAATACTTCCTACCTAGATATTGATGAGATTGCTTCTGTCACTGGTCGCCCTCATAAAGTCATTGGCATCCATTTCTTCTCACCGGCTCACATTATGAAACTAGTGGAGATCATTTATGGTCAGCAAACATCCCCTTCTGCCATTGCTACTGCCATGAGCCTAACCAAAGTTATGGGTAAAATTGGAGTTGTAGTGGGGAATTGTTCTGGTTTTGTTGGCAACCGGATGTTAACCCGTTACTATGACCAAGCGTATTTTCTCATGGAAGATGGCAGCACTCCAGAAGAGGTAGACAAAGTCCTGCAGGAATTTGGTTTCAAAATGGGCCCCTTACGGGTAGGAGATCTGGCTGGACTTGATGTGGGCTGGAGAATTAGGAAAGGGAAAGGCCAGACTGGAGACACTCTGCCTCCTGGGACACCACCTCGCCATCAGGATGGCCAGAGATATAGCCCAATCCCTGATATCCTCTGCGAAATGGGAAGATATGGTGAGAAAACAGGAAAGGGCTGGTACCTATACGATAAACCTGGGGGAAAGATAGCTCAACCAGATCCATGGCTGCATGGTTTTCTTTCTGATTTCAGACGTACTCATAACATCACAGCACGCACCGTTAGCCAAGATGAGATCTTGGAGCGTTGCCTATATTCCCTTGCCAATGAAGGTTTCCGAATATTATCTGATGGAATAGCATCTTGTCCAGAAGCCATTGATACCATCTATATCAATGGTTATGGCTGGCCCAGACATATGGGCGGTCCAATGTTTTATGCTTCTCAGGTTGGATTGCCCAGGGTTTTAGCAAAACTGCAGGAGTATGCTGAGGCTAATCCTGACATACCCAGCCTGCAACCCAGCTCTTTTCTGCAGAAGCTTGTAGCTTTGGGCAGTCCTCCTCTGAAAGAGTGGGCATCCCATGTGAGATCTCAAAACAGCAAGTTATAATTTCTCTGTTAAGCAGGCTGTGTTGAAACATTCTGACTGATCCAGCCCAAACTGAAATGTAGCATGGAATAAAACAGTGTGACTGTCTCTTCTGATTTCACTACAATGTACACACAGACATGCACACTGTCTCTGTGAATGATAGATTGCTGCTCACAATGGTGCCTTTTATCATACTACTCCTTGAAATGCTGCCTGGGGGTCTTGCTTAAAAAACACACACTCATCAAGTGATGCTACCCAGATTGTGGATAATATCTTCATGAACCTTAACTGAGCTGCCTAAAATAATAATAAAGATGAAATCCAAAGCTTGAAAAAAACCCAAGACACATTTTTTAATCTTATAGGATGTACTACAATGCAGAGATACACAAAAGTAGAGCCTTGAACAAAAAATAAATATGTAGAATTATAGTACAGTAATCAGAGTCTTGTTTTTGAGTATCAGAGCTGAGCAGAACTCTGTTCCAAACACAAATCTTATGATTTTTCCAAGCTTTCTTCATTTCAGCAATATACTTGGAGGAGGCTGTTGTAAATCTTTCCTGATCAACTAATACTGACTACAAAAGATCTACAAGACAGTTCAGATCCACTTTTTACTCATCTGACCTGGTTTTGACTTCCTACATTCACTCTTCTTCCATCCCTGTATACTAGTGGTGCTCAACCTTCTTAATGCCGCGACCCCATAACACAGTTCCTCATGTTGTGGTGACTCCCAACCATAACATTTACATTGCTATTTCATAATTTTGCTACTATTATGAATCATAATGTAAATATCTGATATGCAGGATGTATTTTCATTAATTGGACCAAATTTGACATAAATACCCAATACACCCAAATTTGAATACTGGTGAGGTTGGGGAGAGGGATTGGTTTTGTCATTTGGGAGCTGTAGTTGCTGGGATTTATAGTTCCCCTACAATCAAAGAGCATTCTGAATTCCACCAATGATGGAATTGAACCAAACTTGTCACACAGAATTCCCATGAATAGCAGAAAATACTGAAAAACTTTGATGGGCATTGAGCTTGAGTTTTGGAGTTTTAGTTCATCTACATCCAGAGAGCACTGTGGACTCAAACCATGATGGATCTGGACCAAACTTGGCACAAATATTCAATATGCCCAAATGTGAACACTGGTGGAGTTTGGGGAAAATAGATCTTGGCGTTTGAGAGTTGTAGTTGCTGGGATTTATAGTTCACTTACAATCAAAGAGCATTCTGTACCTCACCAATGATAGAAGTGGGCCAAACTTCCCACAGAGAAACCCTATGACCAACATAAAATAGTGTTGATTACCCCCCTTGCAACCTCCTCAGGGGTCCTGACTCCCAGGTTGAGAAACACTACTGTATACAATATCCAGGCAGTCAGATATTTGCAAGAAACCTTCTGTCATAAGATTGCTTTTCTTTTGTATATTAAAAGCTAACCAGTATTTGTGGCCTCCTGCATCATTTAATAAGTGCATTGATTGAAAACACCAGAAACTCCCAGATTTTGTTCCTATTTTTTCCATTTTTATTTTGGAAGTCTAGACACGTAATACTTATCCTAAAATATTTTCTGTCAGCTCCTGCTACAATCAGTTATGTTTTATGTCAGCTCTCCAGGTCAGATTATTTTAACCCAATATAAAGTCACAAAGAAATTCTGTAACTTTTCAGTCTGGATGTGCCTTAAAATAGAATTCTTCAGAAGTGTCAAGGACATTCAACAGAAGATGTCTCCATTTCATTTCTACTTCATATAACCATTGCAAATACCCTTTTTCTTCCACAATTAAAATTCTTGATAACATTGGAGAAAACAAGTAGTCCAGTGCAAAATAATTCAGATACAATGAAATGTATAAGATCTACTGAAAAAAAAAAGAAGCTGAGGAACTGCAATGGGGAATTCAGCTTCTGCCATCTACATGTTAATCGAAAGTGATGAATCATAGCAACAAACATTTTCATGCTTTTTATCTGGTAGCATAAACAAGTGCCTCAATTCTCTTTGTTCTCTGCCTTTTTAAAATAAGTGTCTTCTTTCCAGCAGCCTGCAGTCTCCTGGTTCATCAACCTGTTCATTTTTCATACACATGTACAAAGGGATCTTGTAGCACCTTAGAGACTAATGGACTAACCGGGAGAACAAAGTTGATAGCATAAGCTTTCATGGCCTTCAGAGAGTTGGTCTCTAAGGTGCTACAAAAGATCCCTTTGCATACTGATGTTCCAGACTAAAATGACTTTTGCTTTGTTATTCATGTCCTCTATGTCAGCCATCACCAATCTGGTGTCTTTAGATGTCGCGTAGTGGGTTAAACCCTTGTGCCGGCAGGACTGAAGACCGACAGATCAGAGGTTCAATTCTGGGGAGAGCACGGATGAGCTCCCTCTGTCAGCTCCAGATCCCATGCAGGGACACGAGAGAAACCTCCCACGAGGATCAAAACATCCAAGTGTCCCCCCTGGGCAATGTCATTGCAGACGGCCTATTCTCTCACACCAGAAGCAACCTGCAGTTTCTCAAGTCGCTCCTAGCACACATACCAAAAAAACCCACCCTCCATCATCTTCATTTGTCATGGCCTTTGGTTTGCTGGGGACCATGGTAGCTGTGGGCCTGCATACCTGAAAGATGCTATTTTATATTTGCCAAAATAATTGAGAAATATGTCACTTGTTCAAATATCTTTTGAAACGCTCAGGGAATCCATAAACACTGTTAAAGAAGTTGGAAAATGTATCTGACTTTGTAAAGGAATATTCATGACTTTCTGTAATTTTGAATGGGAAAGGAAGTGCACATGATTGCTTTTGCTATTCTTTTTAGAGTTGCTATTTCTAGAATTGAGAGAATGAAATTTACGATGAATGAAATGTAACATCCATTTTTCCTAAATAAAATACTTTCTTAATAATGTGTCTTGCTATTTTGTACCATATTTCCACATTTTCAAAACCAAAACAGTGGACTTTACCACACCAGTCTTACCACAATTGATTCATGTTGGGAATGGAAACATGCTGGTTTTAGATCATTATCGCACCTCTCTGTATTAGCACAGTGAGACTGCTGTAGTAATCCATGGTTCTTTGACCTGCTTTCTGCACAGTCTCTACAAACCTCCTTTCTCCCCTAAGTCTTATCCTGCATGACTTTGTGGGGTTTTAAATTTTATATTTACTATAATTTTGCAATTATGGCAATACAATTTTTTAAAAGAGGTGAAATACCTCCCAAAAGAAAAACAGACTGCTTGAGAATAGTGAAGAGGAAAAGAGAAACATGACTGATGGCATACCTACTTAAGCAATCCCTTGTTGTCCAAGTAAAATTGTCCTCCAAGTGTGGTGTCCTGGCAGTGAGTACGTAGCTGACTGTGGAGCCCTATTCTAGACCCGCATGTTCTCCCACACTGAGGGCACCAGTTTCCATGTGGAAGACAGTCCCAGTCAGGATTGGCTTGATGCACCTTCCTCTTGGCACGTTTCTCTCTTTCGCCCTCCATTCATTCTCCTTCAAATTCTACAGCACTTCTGGTCACAACTGACCTCTAGCTAGAGCACTCAAGGGCCAGGGCTTCTCAGTTCTCAGTGGCTATGCCATGGTTTCTAAGGTTGGCTTTGAGCCCATCTTTAAATCTCTTTTCCTGTCCTCCAACATTCTGTTTTCTGTTCTTGAGTTTGGAGTAGAGTAACTGCTTTGGAAGACGGTGATTGGGCATTCGGACAATGTGGCCGGTCCAGCGGAGTTGATGGCGGAGGACCATTGCTTCATTGCTGGTGGTCTTTGCTTCTTCCAGCACACTGACATTTGTCCACCTGTCTTCCCAAGAGATTTGCAGGATTTTCCGGAGGCAATGCTGATGGAATAGTTCCAGGAGTTTCATGTGACGTCTAGATAGTCCATGTTTCGCAGGCAATATAGCAGGATTGGGAGGACAATAGCTTTATAAACAAGCACCTTGGTATCCCTATGAATGTCCCAGTCCTCAAACACTCTGTGCTTCATTCGGAAAAATGCTGCACTCGCAGAGCTCAGGCAGTGTTGTATTTCAGTATTCCACTGATGGCATATCAGAAATGAAACAGAAATCTCTAATAGGAAAGCAAACATATGGGGGGGGGGGGGAGTGACAAATTTTACTCATCAGTGAAAAGATGCACTACATTAATGGATGTGATGCAGAATCAAGGTGGGCACATCATGCGATAAGTACCAGCCAGAAATATTATTAATCTGCTGAAATTCTGCTTTGGCAGCTCATGTGGTAAAAGTCCTGAAAATGGTTGCTGGTGTGTAAGAACCATGCAGTCTGATTATCAAGTTAATCCAGCTAGGTCCAATAGTTACTGTTGAATACAGTCACGGAGAGCTAGCTTCACGTCCTGTTCAGTCAAAAGGCTACTGATATATGAAAGGACCATGTACATGCCTGAACAATTTTGTGAGATGGTGTGATAAAAATGCCATAAATTAATTCATATGCAGGACCAAGATGCTTGATACCAAAATTATCTGATGCTAGGCAGCCTAAAATTGCCTAGTCTCTATTGCATTATTATGTCAATATGAAAATAATAACTAATACCAATATGTTTCTATCTCAGAATCAGTGAAAGATAAATCAACTCCTTATTCATGAATCTGTTGATAAAATTATTTTTTTGTGTGTGTCTTGTGGGCTTCATTCCCTCATACACATCCAGTCCGAGAGAGCATTCCTACATTTTCAAATGTACAGAAGAGAATTTCATAAGCTATGGCAATCACAGCGCTGTGTTTATTTTCTCTTATGAATCTCCTAAAATTATAGAAGCTTTCTCCAAAATTGACGGTATTTTTAATTTGATTCACAGCAGATCATCACTGTGTAGTCCCTGGTGGTGCAATGGGTTAAATTCTTGTGCCAGCAGCCCTGCTGAGTGAAAGGTCAGCGGTTCAAATTAGGGGAGCTGGGTGAGCTCCCATCTGTCAGCTCCAGCTTCTCATGCGGGGACATGAGAGAAGCCTCCCACAGGATTGTAAAACATCAAACATCTAGGCATCCCCTGGGCAACGTCCTTGCAGACAGCCAATTCTCTCACACCAGAACCGATTTGCGGTTTCTCAAGTCTCTCCTGACTTGAAAAAATGTAGTACAGATGTAAAAAGGTGTTAATGAGAAAGGAAACACAAACTTGGAGGGGCTGCAGCTGTTTGCTTTTGCTTAAGCCAACAGGCAATTTTAAGATTCCTATTCTCTTCCTCTCTTCCTTCACTGTGCTAATTGAGTGCAAACTATTTTTGTACTTTGAACTCAATTTGCAGCAGCTGAAGCAGGCTGAAGACAAAAGCGGTGGGACTGGAAGGTAATGAGAAATGGGAGTGTTTTCAAAGCAGCTGGAAAAGTAGGATAGCAGCAGATTAATCTTAGCCAAATCAGGACAGCTGGAGAAAATAGGGAGGCCCTATGGTAGCACTTCTCTGAAAAATGGTATAGTTTCTGTAACGTTTTATTATCCTGTACTACATAGCATTGTTGTTCAAAACTCACATTTTGAATGTGTGGGAAATGGCATCACAGAATTCTCTTCTCTAAATTTGTGCTTGTGGCCCCCAGATCCTTTCTGAATAACCTTTTTGTAGCTAAAAGGGAGGTTGAGTTACCTGGAGAAGTTGACCTCCCTACAAACCCAACCTGTGTTCAAAACCAGAAATCAACTTTTGGACCAGTCTGGATTCCCAGTCTCAATTTTTGGCATTTTTGTTCATCTTTAAAGTTCTGGAGCTGAAAGTTGTCGTTTGCATCCATTCAAATTACCCATCCCTAAAAATCTTCAGAAATTAGCGTTGACGGATCTCAGAACCTGACCCTGATTTTTGGGAGTAATCTCCACAGAAGACAACTTCTCCAGTTCCCTCCAAGCAAAAGGAAAGGTCAGTGTGCCAATCTCTAGCTCAGTCAGTATGGCAAGATCTTTTTTTAAAATATAATTTACATGGTTTAAATTTGTTGCTGCAGCTCGCCAAGACTCCTGAGGGTGTTTACGAATATATGTAGTTCTACTCCTTCCTTTGCAGTCATTGTGCTGCCAGGACTCACCCTCTGCTCTGTTCTACAGCCACCTTTTGGCAAAAGGCAAGTAGCTTAAATAAAAAGTTCATTCTGCCTCCTGCAAAAGTTTGTAGCTTTGGGAAGGGTCTTCAAACTGCTCATCCAGAGAGGCCTTGGGCCTCACTAAACTACAAACCCCAAAATTCTGCAGGAGGCAGCCATAGCATTTAAAGTAGATTGACACTCTCATGCAGGTCTACACAACACATGCACATGACATGACCTGCAGGTCAGATGCGGCCCACAAAGGGCTCCCCTGTAGCCTGTGGGTGGGACTGGAGGTAACAGGCTGACCAGCAAAAGGTTCACTAGCCTTGTACTCTTTCCAAGGTCTTATTTATTTATTATTTATTTACAGTATTTATATTCCACCCTTCTCACTCCACAGGGACTCAGGGCGAATTACAATATACCTATACATGGCAAACATTCAATGCCATAGACACACAACATATAAAGACAGACACTCCGAGGCTATTTAACATTCCAGCTTCATGAGGGTATTTTGGTCAACAGGGGAGCTGTTGCTTCACCATCCATTTGTGACACTGAAGGAGTACTTCCTCATTCTTTGCACACTTGCTGGAGATTTTATGGCATCGTAAATTAGTTAAATTAGCCTCCCCACATAAGCGGTACCAACATTTCCTACTTGACAAATGCAACTGTCTTTCGGGCCACAGAGGTCAACAGCAAGCTACACAAATGATCGGAAGCTCTCTCCAATCCGGGCTGGTTTCGAACTCATGACCTTTCGGTCAGTAGTGATCTTAATGCAGCTGACTCCCAGCCAGCTGTGCCACAGTCCCGGTCTTCTCCTTCGCTGGTAACTGCAGGCCACTCCTTCCTCCTTCCCTTCTTTTCTGGTCAGTCAGGCAAGGGGGGAGGAGAAGTGTTTATTTAATATAGGCCCTTTACAAGGGCCAAGTTGTGCAGATCTGCTCTACTGTGATGGGACCCACTTCAACTTTACTACTAAATACTCCTTCCTGAATGCTTGCATGACTTATCTTTGGTCAACACAGTAGATATATCACAGGACTTGTAGTAAGCATCAGTAAATCCTTCCCTAGTTAGCTTTAGAAGAAGAAGAGGAGGAGGAGGAGGGGAGGAGGAGGAGGAAGATGAAGACGATGAAGATGATGACGCTACTCCACACACTGCTAGGGAAGAGTTTTGTTGTACATATACCAAATTTTGCTGACTGAAACAAGAGTTCCTACATAATGTGCTGGACACCGTTTTTACACCAGGTTAAGTTTCCATAGCTTATTCTATGTCACAATATTTAAAGGCCACTTATCGTATAAGAATAATAGCAAATTGCATAATGGCAGACTTCTGGTAATGAACATTTTGGTAATGAACACAAAAGCCAGTTTGACCCAGTTCATGGACAACAGTGTTGTTTTAAATTACACTATTCTCTAGTAGAGGGTTCTTTGAGATACGTTGTTTAGCTGCCACTAGGGTTCCACAGGTTTCCTCTGGCATTTCTTTATTTGCTAATACTATGATTTGTGTAATGACATATTTCTTGAAGTAGTGGGAGCTTTTGCTGTGGGCGCTGGAGCGCCTAAATTCTCCCTGCACAAATACCCCATATTTATGCAAGCTGTTGTAGAAATCTAAAGAGAGACTCAAGCCAATGCACTCTCTTCTCATTAATGGACAAGCCCATAGGCATCGTTCCAACAAGCGAAAGCAAAAGAGGAAAACACAAACACCAGCATGCCAGGAGACAGAAAAGCCTTGGTTTTTATTGCTGTCCCCAGCAGTACCAAACCTCCGGAGGGAAGTCCTGCTTTCATAATGGCACACA